GAGCAGCAGGGGGCGGCACTGAGACGGGGGGGCGGGGGTGGTGGTCAATGGGGGTGGCCTACGGAGAGGGCGGACTGACCGTCTCGCGGCCTGTGTGCGCTCAGGTGGCGGCGCGGAAGCTGAAGCCCTACCCCCAGCGCCCCCGCAGCCTGCACGAGCGCATCCTGGAGGAGATCAAGGCGGAGAGGAAGCTGCGCCCCGTCTCCCCCGACGAGATCAGGAGGAGCAGGCTAGGTGAGCTGCCCACTCGGAGCCCCCGCGCGGAAGGGTGGATCAATACGATCGAACACCGATAGAGGTCAGAAACACAACCACAGAGTGTGGGAGCCCATAGCATTTGTTGGCATTTTAATGACTCTCGGTATGGTCACAAATCTCATGGTGCAGATGATAAGAGGGGAGAAGAATAAATTATGTACTTAACATCTGTTTAACTGTCCGAGTCTGCCCCAAGCGGTGGATTGGTCTTTGGTAGTGCAGTCGAACTCCACACTCTCTCCTTTTGATTGACAGAGTTTTCTGCTGGCAAAGGAGATAGACCCGAGATGTGATGTAAAGCTAATGAAAGTTGCAGGTGACGTTGATTGGCATTGCACTCAGAAATGTGATTTGTCATGCTATGGATCCAAATGGTTTTGCTATGTGGTGCTCCCTAGGTGGTTCCCAGTGCATTTGTATGCTTTGTGTCCAGTACATGTGTAATCAGCTTGGGGCTGCCAGTCATATGTTAATAGAAAGGTTTAGCAACTTATCTGTTCTGCCTAATGCTGGAATTCAGGCTTATCTTCGTTGGTCAACACCCTGATAACATGTTGCTAGATGTTCACCTGAATCCAGTAATAAAAATCCAGTTTAATGGCATCTTGTCAAAGCTGTTAATGGTGAAGGGTGGTGCCAATACTAGAATCTCAAAGCATGCTTTGAGTACATGACGTGAAAGTTGTGCAGATCAGGGCTTTGGATTGATCTGCGACCGCTGCCATTCTCTGCCACTTGGCTGTCCGACCACTTTCACCCTTTCCATGACGTGGGCTCTCTTTACAGTGGTTCCCAGCCCTGGGCCTGGAAGGGCCCACTGTGTCTTCTGCTTTCTGTTCCAGCTGAGGTCTTAACCGTAGGCTAACTGGGTTCAATTTTTGCATTGGAGGCCTAGTTTTTAACTTGTTTTCAGATTTTAAAAACTTCAGATGGGTTCAAAAGCTGGTATCCCTCCCCCTTACACACATTCAGTACCCTGGCTGAAATGTGACCAGTTGGACCTGCGTAAAACTCTGAAGCCACTGAGGAGAGAATGTGTGCTGAAGTTGTGGTAATCAATGCACTTTAAGTTGTGTATTTTTTAATCTAAGAACAGTTGTTAAAACTAGGTAGACAAGAAGGTTAAACAAGCAGATTAAGGGGTTCCTCAGGGCTAGTATTGGGAACCACTGTTCAATCGTGAAATTGATGCTCGATCTCTTTGTCTCTTTCAATCCTTTCTGGATCTTTTCATTACAATTATGCAGTTAAATTGACAGCTGTATAGTTAATTTCTCATGGTTTAATGCATGCATAAGAATTTGATAAAAATATTTTTTAACAAGGATTTTTTTTTAAATCCACCTGAAGTGTTCACCCATTTTTTAATAACTGAAATGTTCAATAAGGGTCTACATGTTACAATGTCCTACAGAACTGGTTACACCCTGACTTTTTTAAGTAGTACCATTTTAATTGGTTTATATCTTACAGATGTTTTCTTTGTTGAATGACCAGAATTGAATGCAAGTTTGACTTGATGCTTGTGCCCTTGATAAGCTAGTTTGAACTTTTTAAAGCAGAATTTGTGAGCCTTGTTTCCAGAAATATTTATTTAATATTACACTGAAACTTTGCTTTTCTTGAGGATATAAATAGGTAATTTGTGCTGTTGTGCATTTTCATGATTAACCCCTTAACTGAGAATTACACACTTTCTGCGTTCACTTGTTTGTTTAACATACTCTGTTAGATCTTTAGAATCCTGGTGCAATACAAAATTGAAAAGACAAGTTGAATCCAAAAGGGATTTATTGAGACAAAATAATTCTTTGATTTATTTTTTTCTGGGGTCGTTCAGCCCAGTTTTTACCAATTGATTTGCCTGTTTAAACCGGTTGCTTGTCCAGTACATGATGATTTATTTTTCCGTTTTAATTCAATTTGTGCCACTCTAACAATCCCACTGTTTTTCTTGCAGTAATTCGACCGCTTAGCATGTCTTACAGTTTTGACTTGTCAGGTAAAGATCTCTTAAGTTACCTGACCCTTCCTGGCTACTGTGCTTGTACCAGTCCATGATAAAGTGCTTTGCCCATTTCATGCTTACGTTTGTGGGGGGTGGTGGATTTGCAACACCAGCATCATTTCAGGCTGTAGCACTTGGTCAAGCACCGATCACAGAAGTTTGAGTGCGTTTTGGATCAGCAGTAAAATCTCCTTAAGGTTCCTTGTGAACTTACAGCCCCACCCTTCCTGGATTGCTAGGTGCATTTAATTATTTTTAATTTGTCAATCTTGTATGAAACTTGAGTGATCGCTCACAAAGCACAGTTGCCTGAAAGAACATTTGATACTGCCTTTGAGGTTTCAACCAAAAATAATAAGAATCCCGAGACCTTTTTAGAGATTTTAAAATGCACCACTCTTCTTTAAAGAAGTTTGGGGCTTCTGCATTTACAGTATAGCAATGAGTCAGATAATACAGAAGCTTCTATTCCCTTGTTACAGATACCCTGTGCTGTTCTGAGGCAGTTCTTGATCCTCAGAATCTTCCAATTCCTCCAGTAGGTTCAGTATTTAAGTTCATCCTTTACTTGTTTGGCTATCTCAGGTTTTGAACTCTAGGAGTTCCTGTACAAACCACTGCTGGCTTGAGCCTTGCAGGAATCATTTCAGAGGATTGATTTTACACCCTATTTATTTATTGTCACAATCAAAATCCCGCATCACAGAAGCACAGCCTCGAGAGAACACCACTTTAGAATTCTCTTTTGTGAGCCAAGAAATGCCAGCAGTGAGTAGAGACATGTAACCAACTACCTGCTGATACCAGTTTTTACCCCTGTGATGGACTTGATGTTCTGTGACGAGTGCTTGAAGAGTAACCGGCATCCATCACGCTGTCCACTCCTTGGGTTGTGTCGTGAGTGGGTTGTCTGTGTTGTGGCCTGCACTCCGGTCGATTCGTCCAATGTGTCCTGTGCTAAGAATTGTCTGCCTGGGAACGTACTGTTCAAAACAAAGTTTTTTGGTTTTGCTTTCAGTCATGGTATTGTCATATGTCCTGCTTTAGTACTGTGGGTTGAGGTTGGGGAAGCCTGAGGAGCAACTACTTCCCAGAAACTGCAAAGTTGTACTGGCTGGAAAAGTCTGCAGGATTCATTCTGATATAGTTTTCAAGGAAATATCTTATTTTTACATTCCTATGGATAAACCCCACACAACCACAGCTGGTTTGTGGTACAGGTAATGAGTAACCACCAGACATCAGTTATACTTTTTACAGGTCTGGAGCGTTATGAGATAATGAGTGATTTCAGAGGTATTCGGTAGAATTGCAGTACTTTGCTGGGACTGACTCAGGGAAATTGCACCACTGTTATCTTTAATTGACCATTTTGCTGCAGTTAAATATGTGAAAAGGTTTGTATTGGTTGTATCAGACAAACGCAGAGAATACCAAAGCCAGTCACTACACATCATTTTTAACAAAAAAACTTTGAACATTACCAACGATTTAACTGTTTAGGTGACTGCTTAGGTTAGAACAAAATCACAAAGACAGTAGGACTTGCAGGAATTTCACCTGAGAACCCTGGATGAAATGGTGCTTCAGAAATATGAATTTTGACCGCATTCCTGGTTTTTAATTTTTCTGTAAAGGAAGAAAAGCCGATAAAAAAAGAGGACCAGACGAAAATGTTTTCCTGTAAACGTGGTGTGTTTACTCCAAGTAATAACAAAGCAGCTGTTTATTCCTTTAGTGAAGAATTACGAAGTGCTTTGCTTTACTTTCTGGCTCAGGAAGGGCATGATTGTTGCACTGGCGGGATGTCTGTGTAGCGTATTTTTAAAATCGAACCCGACTTTACTAGATGTACTCTGTTGTTGTTGTTGTTGTTGTTGTTGTTGTTGTTGTTGTTGTTGTTGTTTTCCTTGGGAAATTGTTATACACAAAACAACCATCTAAGTTAAGAATAAAGCTGAAAAAGCACAAGATTTTATGAGTTTTTGGCCACCACTGGGGGCGGGGGGGGCACTGCCTTGTTATACTCGCAAGGAGAAAGGCCTTCTCGTCGTGTAAGCATCCAAGTTCAACAGAAAACAATTGGTATGCGAACGCTGTTACGTCTCTGAGTGCCGCTGGCATGATGTGTATATGTAAAGTCTGAGAGTCCTGTGTGCTTGTCAGTGCGTGCAAGGACTGTGTGCCCCTCGTCAAGGATGCTCACAACCAGGGCTGGGGCCTGGGCCTCTTTTTGGCCCTGCCACCTCTCCTGGATCTCAGAAACTCAGAGGGGCCAGAAATGTGTCAGCCGAGCGTCGGGAAGCGTGCTCCCCATGTCGTACAGCACCTCCTGACCCTGGAGCAGAAGCCAGACGACACCTGCGCCTGAGGTGGGCTGGGCCCTGCGCACCAAGTGTGTTGCCATGGAGATCCCTGCTAGCAGCCAAACTCTTCCTGGCAACCCAAGTGGTGTGGCTCAGGGTGATCACTCACTCACTGCTAGGTAGCTGCTGAAAGCTGACAAATCCCCACAGTCCATATTTGTGAGTTTGTCAATAGGTGGGCCGAATAGCTTTCTCTCATTCATAACCTCACATTGTATTATTATTTGTGGTGCCCCTTAAAGTTACTTGCTTAATTAAACAGGAATGCAGACTTTTCGGAAGGATTAACAGTCCCCATGTAGACATCGTCGATTTAAAGTTTTTTTTTTCCCCCCTTTGATTGCACGTTTTTGATCCAAAAACATAATTTACTCATGATTAATGATCCCTTTAAACATCTGGTGAATGTTTGCCAGCAAATTTGTTGAAGAATGTTGACGGGATGCGAGATTTTACAGTGCAGTTTAGCAAAGTTTTGAAAAGCCCTTATTTCATACAAAAAGGCCTTTCAGGATATGATAATAGGGAGACACAAAAGTCTGCTATATTCTGTGGATTTTTAGGGTTTAGCTCCTGCCAATTGTTTTTACATTAAAAGAGAGAGACTCTTGTATGTGTATTTAAAACCTTCATAAAGCTTTCCATATGTAGTGCGATATCAGCTTGTTATGACAACTGCTATCTGCACCTTCCAGTTACTCAGAAGTGCCTCTTTGCAAACATTCCACACAACAGCTGTCCTCTTCCTCAGCGTGTACACAGCACGTAGATCAAACCTTAAAATGCCCTCATGGCTCGGAATTCATGCCTTTTTCCCTTTGTTGCCTAGCTCACGTGGTGTTGGAATCAATTTTTCAAAAGTATTTTGTTCTTCTGTAGGATAGTTTTCTATTTTAACTCTTTTTTTGGGGGGGTTAATATATGTCAGAAATGTACACTTCATAATCTTAATGTCTTGCAGCTTTGTGTGTCAATAAATGTCAGAGCTAACAACACATCTGAAAAGAGACGGCATCCAGGGATGTCTTAGGAGGGCTTGATTGAACCCATAATCCTGCCAAACCACATCCACCTTGTTTTTTGCAATATGAATTTACAATAGACCAGCATCTGGGATTTAAGCAGAGGACAGAGATGAAACCCTAGCCACGCTGTTTGTATAAGGAAACGTCTCTTGTTCTCGGTTTTAAGTACACTATGCAGTTTCTCTTTGTATCCTTCGGATCATGTTTCACTCCTGAGTCAGTGAAGTAAGGTAAATACTTATCCCATGACACTCCCAGTCTATTTAAGAAACATTTGGCGTCCTGTCTATTGAACTGTAGATACCAATGTCAGTTGGTATTATTTCTGACATTAGGCATAGTATTAAGGTTTGTTCTTAGTCTAGTTGTCTACACATGTATCTTGGTGCCAATATAAAGCGCTAACTGATGTCATAAGGAAATATTTCATTTGCTTGTTTCCATACTCAGACGAAGGTAAAAAATATTACTTTCTATACCATTTGTACCTTGTTTCTTAAAGCAATGCGTTGGTCAGAGTGTGTAGTTATTATGAGACTCCTGTTCCTGTTCATGTGTCTTCTATGGCCATCTCGCTTATTTTTTCCTGCAATTAAGAAATTGTTCACCCCGTGATTTTTTTGTACAGTTGTTTGATGTCTCTTTGTTGTGCGATGCGTAGAAAACAAATGGTGGAAATCTACAGCCTGTACTCTCAATGGTTCATCTCGCAGGAAATTCATGTTCCTGCAATTCAGGTTTCATGCACAGCCATGAATATATGTAGGGAAAGAATGTCGATGTTATGAGCTTAAGACTGGTTGTATTCACATCTTAAGGTGGTGAGCTGGCAGCAGATGTCTGGTGAAGGAGATTGGGTCCTGCTTTTTCTAGTTCTCCGTAATCTTTTAGTCTAGTTTATTCCAAGTGAGTAATATCTCAGTAATGTTTGCAACGTGCCTTCTTTGTTTGCAGATCATAAGATGCCCAGGCTCAGTGAGGGGCTGTGCAGGGAACCTCATGTCCTCCTCTTTGAGAAATCCCACCCAGTGGCATGATCGTGTGATAGAGCTGCAGCAGGACTGGGAATGCGTACTTGGAAAGGAATAGCTGTCCTGGAGCTCTCTGAATGTCAGATGCTCCTTGTTGGAAAAATGAACCATTTCTTAGAAAATTGTTATATCTGCTTTGAGCACTGTGTGAAAGTAATTAGTCCGTTCAGTCAGATTATAATTCAGATAGAGAAGATAACCCTTGAATGTGTAAAAGGATCTAATAATAATTCCTTACATTTATATAGCGCTTTTCTGGACACTCCACTCAAAGCGCTTTACAGGTAATGGGGACTCCCCTCCATTACCAGTGTACAGCCCCACCTGGATGATGCAGCAGCAGCCATAGTGCACCAGTACACTCCCCACACACCAGCTCTCAGTGGGGAGGAGAACAGAGTGATGAAGCCAGTTCAGAGAGGGGGGTTATTAGGAGGCCATGATTGGTAAAGGCCAGGGAGAAATTTGGCCAGGAGACTGAGGTAACGCCCCTACTCTTTTTGAGACATGCCCTGGGATTTTTAATGACCACAGAGAGTTGGGACCTTTGTTTAAGTCTCATCCAAAGGACGATGCCTTTTTACAGCATAGTGTCCCCATCACTATACTGGAGCATTACACATATACTGCAGGGTGAGCGCCCCCTGCTGGCCCCACTAACACCTCTTCCAGCAGCAACCTTACTGTTTCCCAGGTCTCCCATCCAGGTACTGACCAGGCTCACACCTGCTGAGCTTCAACGGGTTGCTAGTTGCGAGTTGCAGTGTGATCTCTTTTGAAGATATGCTAATGAAATGGCAAAGGTCTTGGTTCATATGTTTTCTGATTAAACCCTTGTGGACCAAGCTCAAACTGTTAGTTAGTTTGTTTTTTTTTGGTGGCTTTTAAGCCCCTGATGCCCCAAAGGTGTGGATCCATGGGAGCTGAAGGGATGGGTTGGTTTGACATTTTGTTGTGTGGGTGTCCCAGTGTTTAGGGGACAATATGCATCGGTTCTCCAGATGTGTTGATACCCCATGTATACCCTGCTTTGAAGAGTGCAGGCAGCATAAATGTTCCTGTTAATGGAGTAGCATAGGTCATCAGTCGGGAATGTTTTCTGTGGTTCTGTAACTCAAGTACAGTAGTTGACATTAAAAAAATGAGGTTTGGAAAGAATATTGTGCAAGCGCAAGAGCTGCTTCAACATACTGTAGGACAGAAAGAAAGAAGCGTTTAGGGTACAGGGTTTGTTTTTAAACACTAAGTCCTTTAGGGGTAGGACTCAAGCCTGTTGCCCCAGTGGCATGAAGGAGCCGGAACGTAAATCGTATGTTTTTTGCAGATGTGTCCTCCACTCCGGAACCTCCCCGAAGGGGCGGAGCCAGTGCACTGGCCAATGGAAAGCTGCCAGCTCAGAGTCAGCGGAATGGGGTGGGCGGGGCTCAGGCAACCATCCAAAGGAAGAGGCTGCTGAAAGCACCAACCCTCGCAGAGCTGGACAGCTCTGACTCAGAGGTATACCAGCCTGCAGCAGTGGAGTGTTTCAAGCCTTTTATTCCCATTACAAATGGGCGTAATTACAAATGTGTACTTTATTCAAAGGGTCTCGAATTTGTGCCCATTTACATAGCTGGGTATTTATCCAGAGCAATTCAGGTAGTTACTTGCTCAAGGGTACAACAGCAGTGTTTCAGCTGGGATTTGAACCCACAACCTCCTAGTTACAAGCCCAGAACAAGTCGTGTTGTCAGTTGTCATGGTGTCTTGTTTTACCAAGGCTTCTACCTTTTTTTAAACAAAGGAAAAACAACTGAATGAGAGACAATGAAACAATCAACAGCATAGTCACAACGCAAGCATTCCTTTGTGCATTTACTCAACACTGAGCATCTTAAAACGAAACAGGTCTTAGTGTAGAAATGTTGTTTTATTTCCCACTGCGCTTGTGTTCACTCTGTGCCTGTGTTCCAGGAGGAGACCACTCGGATGTCTGTCAGTAGCTCCAGTATGTCCACATCGCAGGTGGATGACATGTCTCCCGACTCTGCTGTCGGCAGAAAAAGTGAGCCTTTTTTCTCTTGCATAACACTGCAGCGTTGGCAATGTGCACCCACACAGAGCGTTTCTGCAGCGCTGTGTCGAGTAGGTGTACTGAACAGAAGCCCAGGGGGATATCAAATGAATATTTAACATTTTCATTTACAGGAATTCAGATTTCAACTTCCACACTTCTCATCTAGCCCTTAACATTTAAAGGCCTGATCAAATCCTGAACCAGAACGGAAACCGCAACATCATTACAGATCAAGTTTTGAGCTGGCCTGTTTTGTTACATAAACCAAAATCCACCAAGACCCCGTGTTTGTGTGGGATGCGTGTTGAATCCAGGAGTTATTTTGTCCTTGGTATTGTCTCCTTTTAGGAATTATTTGTAAGTTTAACCGTTTTTTTCCCCCCCCTTGCACAACCTTGTCACTCTCGTGCTACAATCTCGGGGACAAGATCCGGTTGTCTCTGTCGCCTCTCCAGCTCCTCCGAAGTTCCTTCCCATCTCCTCCACCCCCCAGCCCGAGAGACGCCAGCCCCCCCAGAGGAGGCACTCCATCGAAAAGGAGACCCCCACGAACGTACGGCAGTTCATGCCCCCTTCACGACAGAGCTCCAAGTCTCTTGTAAGTACCTCAGGCTGACATGCGTCATAAACCCAATAAGGACTGGTCGGTTTTGTGACTTGGGTGTCCAGGATGCCTAGCTTTTTAGTAGTGCAGGAACAGGCCTGCCAGACTAAAGCTGCTAACCTCTGAACAGAAACAGCCTGCACCAAACAGAACAAGAGGCCACTTCACCTTTTTTGTCTGACGATTTTACGATTTACATTTCAGTTGTAATGTTGCTTTTTTCTGTATTATATTGTTGTTCTGCTGTTGTCTTGAGTCCAGGGCAGCCTGTTTTCGTACATGAGACGTATGTGTAGGTCACCGTTATTCCTGCTAAAAAAGTCTGGTGTCGCCACTTACCTCTGAGCAGCGAGTAACAGAATCTAGTGCCGATCGTGTAAGAATGCATGAAGATGACGTGACCGTATCTCTGACTAAACCCCTCCCTCGTTATGTCTATTGCTCAGGTCACAAGGATATTGGGTTTTTTTCCAAGGATCCCATTGTGCCCCAGTAACTCGGCTCTGCAGACAGTCTCTTTCCTGAGCTCGCATCCTTTTGAGGCGTCTGTGTTCGGTGTAGTGGGGGCTGTGTACTCTCTGTGTGAGGGAGTTTTCTTCAGCAGGTGGAAACGCAGAAAGGTTTGCCTCTTTGATGTAGCACTGGCTTAGAATCCACCGCTCTCTCGCTTCTGTCTGCTTTCTGATCACGTCGACGCCTAAGCTCTGTTGCTGTGTGCAAAACTCACAAGCTTAGGTGGCACTGTCAATCTGATGATTGATCATTCTTTGCTGTGGGGTAATATGATCAACACCATCACTGCCGTCTTTTCAAAAACAGAAACAACCTGCTTTTCTTTGCTTGATTTGAGCTATAGCAGTAAGGACTGTGTTACCAGAGAGCCTGCACTTGGGGAAGAAAGCAATGACCCTAATGAGTTTGTCCTCACTGAAGTCTGAGTTGGTAAATAAGCCTGTTGCTGCTGATTCTGCCACAGTGCTGAAGAGATTTTATATGTGAAAATAAATAGTAGTCTTGTTCTCCTTAATCAGTGTAATGCTGTTTATACAGAGCACCAACAGTGAATAATCCTACAATGCTGGTAATCTAGCAATGTTTATAAGGATGCAGAGTTTTAACTTTGATCTTAACACAGAGTGATATTTTTTATTTCACACATCCTTAATGTTAAGTTATTTGTGATACATCAGGAAATATCTATCCAAGATGCATAATCTACAAGTATAATAATGACCGTCACATTTAGATATGGGTACTTAAGGCAGTCATAATGTACAGTATGTGTTTAAATTGGTGACTGACTATTAATTGCAACAATGCATTGTTTCCAGATGTGAGAACAGCTGAGTGGTCATTATCACAGAATTGTAGTTCTTGATTTATCTCTGTGACTGTAAATGATGAGAGTGTGAGTGAGCTGCTGAATGTGGCGGAGAGAGAGAACAAGGTTTACCATACCCTCTAACCCTCTACTGGGGTGTTATCTGCCATCTGGGGGAACAGTGAGGATTATGGAAGAGCTCAAGCTGTCCAATTGTTTCTGGGAGCCGAAGAAACTGGCACATTAGCTGCAGTTCCCACTCCAACAATACAGGAAGGACCGTTTTCCGCAGAAAGCTAATGGAAATCAGTCTGTGTATTCAGGACTTCTCCGACATATTATAACCAGACAGTAACAGTAAATCCTTGTGCACTCCTATCTTTTGTGAAAAACACAATGTGTAAGACACTAAACTAGGAATATGAGGGATAGAAAATGGAAAAGTAACACAAAATAACAGGGGAGTTAAGGTTTTTGGCATAAGCTTTTTTTTCTGAACAGCACAGATTTTTTTTTATCAACTCCAACCTGCCAAATAAAAATGGCTTTAAGAACAAATTAGTGTTTGGCAAGAATGTTAAATATCATTGTTTATTATTCATTGTGTACGTGTCTTTTGCCATTTTTTAGTCATTCACACTAGCATTTACATTTTTTCCCCAATATGGATAATCTCACAGCCTCATTCCAAGAATGATAACCTCTGCTATACAAATACCTATATGACTTTTTGTCGTTTAACAAAAAAGAACAACTGTTTTCATCTAAAATACATTAAAGCCTTTGGGGGTGGCACAATTATACATTATGGTGGCTGGCAGCTTCAGGTCCTGAGTTCAATTACAGCCCCGGGCGTCTGCCTGCGTGGAGTTTTCATGCACTGCGCAGGTTGGCGCAGGTTTTCACTGAGCGCGCTGTTTTCTCCCGCTGCCCGATGACTGTTGATTGACTGTTCGAAGTTGCCCGTTTATTTGTGGCCCCCAAGATGAATGGTGTCCAGCAGAGAACAGTCGTCTCCGGACAGGGAAGAGCCCTCTGTCCCGCCCTGTGCTCTGTGCTTCTGCGATAGGCTGCAACCTGCAACCTTCAGGATAATCAGCTGCTTTATCTACTTTATAGTGGCGCCTCTGATGGCTCTGACTCTCCAGTTCTTTGAATTTGGTTGCAGTGAGGATGAGCAAACTGCTCGGCCTGGAGTTCCGTTACAAAAGTGAACCCCAAGAAATTCTTCATTCTAGAAAATAAATCACACGGTCACTTCTTTGATCTCCAGGAAGGGCAGGGAATGCAACTCTTGCATTTGAGATGCTTCTTTCTGGCAAGATCCCTTGATTGTACCACTACAAGGAGGCTTTGAGGGGTGTGGCTCAATCGGTAGCTTAAGTATGTGCTGCTTACGTGTGTCATTTATCCCAATGATCAGGAGCGTGTTGAGATGGACAGCAGGAATAAGCCGGTATGTCCTGTAAACCTCCCATTTTTCCTGGGATACTAACACAATGCATATCTCTGCATTACTCCAGCTTGTACACAACCTAACTAAGGGTGTTTGCAAAATATAGTTGCCAATATGTTGAGATCCAAGAGATGTGAGATGTGAGATTTTATTTTTCTAAACCGCGCAGTGAGGGAAAATGTCTAAAACTAAGAGCCTTTACAGCAAATTGCAGTTGTTTAATTGGTAGAATCTGTGAAGCACATGTTGGCAACTATAACTCTAGATGTGCAGGGAAGCTAAAGGTGTGAAATTATCTCCTTTTCTATGTTTAGCTTCATCACATTGTAGTTTGAGCAAGAAAAGTTTTTTAAAATGTTCTTGACCCAGAGTAAAAGAATTGTTCTGTAGATATGTACAGCATGTGTGTATGCAGTCTTCAGGAAAAGAACATATTTATAATTTAGGCATATTTTTGTCTTGAATCCTTAAATGTAATTAAGACATTCTCGTTTACTATGTTACAACAATTTGGATATGCATTAAGTACCACATGCTTCCAAAATTCTGCATCTGTTGCAACCAGCTGATCTTCTGCAGTACACACAGTCATCATAATGGACATGTCACTTCAGAGGCCTTCAGTTGTCTGTGGGCTGTTCCCGTTTTCTTGCCCTTGAGGCACCCCCACACAAAAAAAAACAATTAAAGGGGCTCAGGTTATACTGAATACTGCAGTTAAGTCTGATGTTGAACACAGTGTATTGTAACAATCAAATCACAGACCTCAAAATTCAACTGAGAGTAGATATTGGAGAAGTTAAATAAACTACCTCAACCTTTTTTATAGAGAATGATAAAAGAGATGTCCTTTCATGAATACTGTCTTCGCATACATGATAACTGTTGAAAGGTCAGTTAATACCACAGCACTTTTTTCTGTTTTTTTTTATGTGGCTTCATCAGGTACAATATAAATATTAAATTGATATAAATATAATTTTGGTTTTATGCTACTTCCTGGTACACGTAACTTTTTTTTACCCTGGGGAAATAGAGCATTATTCCAAAATCCTGCATGGGGACTCCTGTAGCTTTGATGATGTCAGCTGATGGTGAAGGTGTCTATCAGCACAGGGTTTTCCAGCCTCTGGGTGTGCTGTGCTGGTTGTGGTGATCTACTTGTAACACAGGAGACTTTTCCTGACTCTACCCTGTGAGTCTGGATTTCTCTTACCAGTGAAGTCACATGTGGCATGGCAGCCGGGGTCCCACAAAGGACAGACTGATAAAACATGGTAATCAGTAGCTACTACAGATTTCATATGGCATCTGTCCCAGTGTACACTATACCACAATGTAATGGAAGTCTTACCTTATTGTAGAAAAGAAATCCCTTCCATCTTTATCAGCAGTTCCCGCAGGATTCTTTGGAAATTTAAGAAACCAAGTGATAGAAAAAGGTGTATTATGTGAGATTTAAAAAAAAAAGATTCTGTTAAGAACATCTGTTCTGTACTGATATTACATTAAACATGCATTTAATCACCTCATTCTCTCTAGGTCACGTTAAATAGGCAACATAATTCTGAACCATCTCTTCTTTCCGTATGTATCTCCCAGGGGAAGCTTTTTGGGAGCTGTATTTCAAATGTTAGTTGGATACAGTGACGAAATTACGTAAACGTGAAACTTGGCTTTTCAACCAGATCGAGCCCAGATCCCGAAATGATCTGTGACTGCTAAAAATGCATAGAGGCTGCTGTGTCATACCACCACAGTACATTCAAGTGCACTTTGAAGCAGGAGTTCAGTTTGCCAGCAGACTGAAATGAATGGGGCTCAACTCCAGTGATTTTAATTTTCAGGGCTTTTGCAGTCTACACTGTGGTAGACTGTGAAAATCGTATACTGTGACATCCCCAGTAGCTCTACAGTCTGATGTAACAGTCACATTTTTCCTTTATTCTATTTTATTATACACGTTTTGAATCATTTGACAATTTTATCTTTAAATTTCTTACTGCACTGACATTCCCAGCTTTCAAAATACTTTTGCAGTTCACCGGTAAGTGTAAGCAATGAAACTTGATTTTTTTTTCTTCTGCAAAAAATACTAGACACGAGAAAACTTTATGGCTAATAAGGCTGTTTTAAATGTTTCTTTTATTTTCTGCACGATTACGATGTTGCGATGAATACAAGCCTTTATCCAATATCACTTGATAGCCTTCTTTGGTTCCCTTGACACACAGGGATTGTCATCTGAGGTCAGTCTGAAAGCCATTTCCCTTACTGTGGGACCCTGAGCTGCTGGCCTGGACAGCTGAAGCCCAGGCTCAAGAGCTAAGCCCTGGTTGTCATGGTGACGAGGCCTGTGTGTTTCAGGAGGAGTTCTGTTACCCAGTGGAGTGCCTGGCCCTGACAGTGGAGGAGGTGATGCACATCAGGCAGGTTCTGGTGAAGGCAGAGCTGGAGAAGTTCCAGCAGTACAAGGATGTTTACAATGCACTGAAGAAAGGCAAGGTGAGACACATTTCAAACACTTGTGAGCTTGTAGCTCTCCTGTTAGGGTTTAGATATGAATACTAATTTTGCACTTTGTGGGGTTTTTTTCCTCTATTAAAGTGGGGCTTTAAACTAAGATTCTCGTGCAGATATTGCCAAATGCAATGCAGTACTAAAATAATACAGGCATAGTTCTTCTGGACACAAATTTTTGAATAGTTATTTGTGTAGAAAAAGAAAGAAAAAATGGATTTGGAAATGGTTATAGGGTAAAGCAGTCCCCTTGCTGCTTTTTGTTTGTGTAATGTGCTCTGAAATAATAATTGAATTGAAAGTAATACAAAAAATAGCAAAGGAAAAGAAAAGACTGCATTTCTTGTGGGCTGATCCGTGACGTACGTGGAATCTGGGAGCACTGGGGCATGTGCTGATCGGAAATTACCATTTCAATTTCTTTTCCTGCAGCTGTGTTTCTGCTGCCGAACTAAAAGATTCTCCCTCTTCACTTGGTCCTACACCTGCCAGTTTTGCAAAAGGTAATTCACTCAGTTATGGAAGTCTAAGATGGGAGTAACCTGTTCGTTTGACCTCAGCTGGCCTCCCAGTGAGAGCTGCTGACACTAAAATTGACGCCTGCTTTGAAGATTTCTCATATAAAGTCAGAAACGGATAGATGTTAAACTCGGTATCCTCAGGCAGTGGTGTGGCCATTAGCACTGCTGCCTGGAGATATCTGGGATTTGTGGCCATTGCATGTGACAGTGTTCCTTCCAAAGTCCCAGCGACCTTCTGTGTAGGTTTGATTGGCTACTTCATCTTGTGCTTCCCAAGGTCCATCACAGGAGTCAGTGGCGAAGAGAGTTGGGGAACTTGTCTTGTTTCTCTGTCCTGTCATGACTGGTCATTATGCTCTGGATGGAGTCAATAATTATAATTCCTTACATTTATATACCGCTTGCCTGGATACTCCACTCAAAGCGTTTTCTAGGTAATGGTGACTCTCCTCCACCATCACCAGCATGCAGCCCCACCTGGGTGATTTACTGGCAACCAAAGTGTGCCAGTACGCTCCCCACACAATAGCTATCAGCGAGGAAGAGAGCAGAGTGATGAGGCCAGTTCAGAGATGGGGATTATTAGGAGACCATGGTTAGTTAAGGCCAAGGGGATATTTGGCCAGGATGCCAGCGTAACACCCCTACTCTTTTCGAGAAACACCCTGGGATTTTTAATGTCCATAGAGAGTCAGGACCTCTGTTTTCGTCTAATCCAAAGGACAGCGACTTTTTACGATATAGTTCCTCGTCACTATACTGGGGCCTTAGGGCCCACACAGACTGCAGGGTGAGTGCCCCCTACTGGCCCCACTAACGCCTCTTTCAACAGCAACCTTAGCTTTCCCAGGAGGTCTCACATCTGCTGAGCTTCAGTGGGTTGTCAGTTGTGCGTTGCAGGGTGATAATATGGCCGCTGGCTAGCTTCTTGCAAGTCAAGTATTTGTTAGCATGGATAGACGGTGTCCTAATTAAAGAGATTTTGTTTCTTTTCTGAATTTCATCTGGATGGAAAGTTGCGAGCAGAAGCATTTCACACTTCATCGTTCTCCAGCTGTGTGCAGTCGACCCGTGTCAGTGACGTACATCAGTCAGGAGCTGTTTGTACAGCGGTCTCAGACATCGTATCTGTTGTCTGTGGCTGGAAACCCGGGCATGGACTTTTGGGGGACGAGAATTGCCTGCAAAATTATCAATATTTACGTGAAAATGATTTTTTTTTTTTGGTCACATCGTTTTCAACTTACAGAACCAATTTTAATGATCATTTAACACATTTACCAGCATTGCACCATGTTTTAGTGAGGAAGTTGATGTACGGTTTTGGATTTGAAATTCTTTTCTTTCTGTCCCATATAGGCCAGTTTGCTCACAGTGTTGTAAGAAGGTAGGTCAAGCTCCATAATTATATATTTTAAACTTCTCTTAATACATCCATTTATAGCATCTTGAATGCTGGTTTTCTTTAGTTTTAAGGATTATATAAAATCTGCCTGAAAACTCTTGATAGTAGGGTTTGATCCCATTGACAAAAGTCCTGCGAGTATTTAAAAAGCATGAGATTGTGCTGTAACGCTGTGTGTGACTTGTGTTTCGAGCAGATTCCCATATCCTTCAGTCTGCTTGTGTCATCTTTCCTTCAGTTCTTGTATTTTCACTGTGTAGGGTAAGCCCTGTGCTTGCAGGAAAAAAAAAACTTCCATGTTTTAGAGTATGTGACATTTCAGAGCAACTGCAAAAAGTGGGAGCTACGTTCTGTGATAAAACTAGTATTCCCATACCAAGTATATTCTAGTAGGGAGCTGCGTCAGCATGCGTAGGCTGCAAAGGAACAGGTAGCGGGTTTATTCAGTGCTCAAAAGAAAGGAAAGGTGTGTCACACCTGAAGAAAGCTCCACAGCTGAAACGTTCCCTTTCCTTATTTTTCTTTTCAGCATGGAATAAACCCGCTGCCTGTTCCCAAGTATATTCTGTACATTTTGCATTGAGATATATGCCCAATTGGTGTTCTTCTAAACATGCTTCTGAAAATTTATTGTAACTCAGAAGGCCGTTCTGATGTGTACAAGCCTTTGGCAGGGAGAGAGGGTAGCAGGAAACGGCATGTTTGATTTCCGGAACGATTTGCGGTAGACTAACTTCAAAACCTCACCGAGTGGAGCTGAGATTTCTAACAGCCCTGCTGCTGCAGCCTCTGCCTTCCTGCTGACGCTGTGCTCTCTGCGGAACAGATGAGGCTCCCCTCCAAGCCATACGCCAACCTGCCCATCTACTCCCTGGGCTCCTCGGCCTTGCAGAAGGAGGAGGCCATCCCTAAGCCTGAGAGACCCTCCACCAGCCACCACCGGCACCACAGTCTGCACAGGACTGTCTCCAGGTACACCTGCGCGCGGCACGGAGCCCAGATCCTTCAAGCCTGTGCAGTACGTGCCACTGAGAGCCAGGTGGAAGCGTAGTACTGTGTGCTTTGAAAAGCAAAAATATGTGATGTCAGCAATTCAGTTTGGTACACTGAATTAGGCTCATTGTTCCGTTTCCAATGAAGTGGTATTTAGTTTGGAATAACCTGATTTGGACAACAGGCATGCAAGGTTTGAGGAGGTATATACAGTAAAGGAGATATACTTTAATAGAGTGAAGTGTCTGCCTAAGATGCAAATGTGTTGTGAGACATGATTGTAGTAGTTGAAGTAGCCAGAGGGGGAGTGTGTGTGAGTGTCACAACAAGGCGGCTCTTAAGCTGGATTTAATAAATCCCTGATAAAGGCTCAGAAAATGAAGTCTGTTTCTTGTAGTATTTTCTCTTAGCAGTAGGTCTACAACAGAACCAGAAGAAAGGTATAACAGGGGGGCTGATTTGTAGGGAAAATTCCATTTCAAATGTGTGCTGTAGGCTTTTGTATCTCCTTCTGGATTTACTGACCGGTGACGTTGCTCAGCTGCCCTGGAAAGGATAAGTGAAGCCAGTTTCCTCAGCTTTGTGCCCCAGTACCCGACGCGTACAGGATCAGGGGGAAGGCATGGCCGGGACGATCCTGTATGTCCTGTTCCGATCTTTCAGGTTGTCCAAGTCGGAGAGGTCGGAGAGGTCGAGGGAGGAGCTGGAGCTGCCCAGGGAGCTGACGGAGGACTGGAGCACCATGGAGGTGTGCGTGGACTGTAAGAAGTTCATCTCGGAGATCATCTCCTCCAGCAAGCGCAGCCTCTCGCTGGCCACCAAGCGGGCGCGCTTGAAACGCAAGACGCAGTCCTTCTACATGTCCTCCCCCAACGCCGCCGAGTATCGGCCCTCCGAGAGGACTATCAAAGAGGTGTAGAGCTGTGCCTTTGCTTCCCCTCGTCGTCGGGCCGCCCGCCGCAGGGGCACACAGATGGTCTGTCTGCGGATGAAGAGGCGAGCGATCCAGCCAAGTTTTTGTTACCATTTCTCCGTTTTTCGTTTCTTTCGAGGCGGGTGAGGGCATGCCTGGTCCGATGAAACGGGCAGTTGTTCACTCGTGACTGAATCGGACACGGAAGCAAGACTTTTTTTTCCCCCTCTTATTAGCAGCTCTTCCAATCAAAGGAATGGAAAAAAAAAACGTTGAATTTGCTCTGTAAGTGTTGTAAATAACCTTGTTGCTCGACCCTCCTTTTCCCCTGTCCCCTGTCCGAATGAAAAGGCCCCATCAGGAATGCGGAGTGCGAGAACCACAGCATGATGGGGCGTTCCCCACGCTCTCCCTCTCAGGAAATCGGAGCTGTCCCACTGGCTTTTCCTAATATCTGTGGCTGGCCACCTTGTAAGACAATGAATGAGCACAACTTCGTCTCTCGCCAGATGGAAACTGTTGAAGACTTAGGTGCATGAAGCACATTATTTTTTTAACAATAAGGCAAAGAGGAACGGCCGTGTGGTTTTCTATAAATCGGAGTAAGGTTTAAAACTGAAAATGCGTTGTTTTTAATGTGCAGTGCCAAGGGCTACTGGAGAGTGAAGCAGTTTAAATCCTCTGCTACATAAATGACACAGAGGATACCATCAATATACTGTATGTACAGAAATATTCCATGCATATTACCATGCACTACATTTCTCATCAGAACGTTTTCTCCTAGTTTAATATACGTGGAAATATTGTTTTTAGATATACATAGAAGAAAACTTCAGCACTTGTGGTTGGTTGAGGGGGACTTGAACTAAAATCGAAAATGTACAGTGATGTTGTCTCGCAGACACCTGTGACACCTGTGAAAAACTCTGGTCTGTGGCTTAATGAACATAGAATTCTATGGATATCAGACCTTGAAATGTTACTTTTAAATGGATTTCAAAAGTCAAGATATTCTGGGTTTTTAAATTCTTTCATCAATAATGCAATCCATCGCTTTGTATCTACAGCCCACTAGCTGTACATTTTTTAAACGAATATCCTGCTCCAATGAGTTGCATGCGATTGAATTAGCCCTTGCTTGTTTTTAAAGGAGTTCTGTCTACTGTATAAGCAGTCCCTGATAAGAGCATTATCACGCAGTATGCGAGATGGAGTGCTAGGCTGATGATCAGCTGGCTTGGTGAAGAAGAGCTAGTAGCCATTAAGCTCTTCCATTGGTTTCACTATCTGGTTTGTGGATCAAGACTTGTGATAGATCTTAAGATGCTGTGCCAGAGAGAGTGCAACCAGATTGATAATGTAATTCATGAAAATGCTGGACCACATTTGATGCACATTTTAGATTTTAAAAACCTCTGCCATTAAACCATAATAATTGCAATTGCAGCTTCTGCACTATTTTCTAATGATGCATTACCGGAAAATAAGGTGGTAAGTCGTCATTGGAAAAGCAGTTCCATTTTAGTCCCGTTCATGAAATGCAGTTATAGAGGCACTGATGTTTAGATTTAGATGTTACTCAGAGCATCATAGAAAAAGTCCTCTAGGACTCTGCTTTGCAGAGACCAAAATTCACATTATCAGGTATAGCACTAGACTGACTCATGGTTGATTGATTCATTAATCTGGGCGCCATCCATCTAGGATTCCAACTCGAAACACTTTTGCATTGTTGACAGACTCCACACTTTTGTGTTTTGTGTTTCGCAAAACAAAGAGAATTAGGCAGAAAGAGGGTGAGTGTTGAAGAATTCAAATCTAGATTATCTGATATTTTGAAATTGCAGTGTTACGGCATCTGGTGACTCTGATTTGGCCTAATTAATGTTTTTCTTACATCATTCAAACCTTTCTGCTCAGATGAGGGGTTGCGTGCTCACAACAGCACAAAGGTCCAGGCTGCTACTCCAGGCTGAGGTGGGCATATTGAATTGTCGTAAGGCTAAAGATAAACACTAAGCCTTCCACTCTGCTGGGTTGCCTTCCCACTTCTGAAACATGTTAGAAATGAGTTTGCATTTGCGTCTGTGGAATGTATGTGAGTACAATTAGGTGTGTCGTGCTAAATTCCTTTTAGTTCTGAAAATCTTGTCTAGTGCCAAAACCTTCATTGCTGGTGTGGATGGTGCAGAATGGAGCCCAGATGTAATTTTCCCTGTAAATACCTTGTAATGAATTTGCATATGAACTCAAGGGGAGAGACAGGCTTGATCTATGCTGCTCACAGCAGGTCATTGAGAGCAGCGATGTGTAGGATATTTTTGTGTATATGCTGTATATCATAATGGTATTGTCTTAAGATATTGACCTACTGAGGTGTCTTTAAGATTGTGTAGAATTGTTTATTATTATTTATCTTACTGATATTATGATTATTATGATTATTATTATTGATGTTATTACTGTTTTTTTATTTAATACTAATCTCTTTTCCCAGTGATGATTGCACTGGAGCAGCACTTTTATTGGGTACCATGAAATGCTTTTTTCTTTTAAACTTTTTTGTTTTGTGCATGAAGGGTAGAAAAGAGAATCTGGCCTCCTGAAACTGCAAAGCAAAACAGCACCTGATTTCCACTACTGTTTTACTGGGGGACTGGAGGGGAGGCAGCTTGTGTTGTCTTTTCTGTCCTTAAAAGACATGTGTTTTGAGACTTTTCTGTCCGTTACTGACGACCCTGTTTCCTCAGAAATGGAATCAACTGGAATCTTTTAGGTCCACTTTTACTTTTATCATTCCTTACGTCTTTTCCTCCCTCCAGAAGCATGGCTGTAGGTGGTACTTAGGAGTGTGGAGCCCTATAAACACTCCTGTGAGCACAGGGCAGAAGTTCATATATCACGGGCAGTTTGATTTCATGCTTGCATGCCCAGGCTTGTGTAGGTTTTAACATATTGATAGTATTGGAGAAACTCCTGAGTTCTTGCTTTTCTTGGGTCTGCAGGTCCCACCCATAGATTAACAATTTTGGATGTACCGGGGATTCAGTTTTATTCAAAAAAAATTTAAAAAAAAAGTAGAATCCATATATTCTGTTAATTGAAAAGTGTTTTTTGATCTCATAAGTTAGTTACAGCAAAGTCCAGGGGTGTTCCGTTTCTGCAGTGCCAGTGAAGTATTGCAGAATTGGTGTTTTCTGAGCTGCTTCGATGCGTCGTTTCCAGTTGACCGTTATTGCACTTAGTACCTGGGTCTCTGACCACAGTTTAACAACTGCAAGTCCTGTATGTCTGTCATTTTATGGAGTCATTTGTTTGCCGTTTGCATTTGGCTGGGAACCAGTCTTGGAAAATTACGTTCAGTTTTTCCTTTTGAGTGTCCCTGCTGCCGCAGTGGAGCTGGTGAGATAGAGGGTGCCAGCACTCGGCACTCAACAGATTTCTTTTGCGTGTTTATGCTCCTTTTTTACCCAAGTATTTTCCAAGAGACCAACCTAGATGTGTGCACCCTTAACGCACTCTCAAGGACAGTGTTTTTAAAGACATGCTCTTTCCATAGAGTTAACTACCTGGCCTGTGTGAAGTCTTAAGTAAATTTGCTAATAAACGATATTTCTTCCTGTGCTAAGCTGTTTAGGATTTTTCGTTTCACTTCCTCGTCTGCCTGGCCTGTCAGGCGTGTGAAGCCACCCTCGTTGGCAAGCTCAGAAACATGCCAGGCAGTCCAGTTAACTGTGTGTCACTCTCAGCCTAGTTTGTGGATTTTCCTTCAACTCCTTCTTTGACTTTTGAGAATGAAACTGGTACAGGGTGTGTGTTTCGTCACCAAGATGGTTCTTATTAACCTGTTTGTTGTGTGTTGCAATGTTCATGATTCATACAAACAGCAGGGGGAAAAAAGTGTATGTCAAAGGAAAACCATGACTACTGGACATGACTATTGTAGAGCTACTTTAATGAGTCAATACTCTAATTGTAATTTGCTACTTTAATTAGTGCTGCTGAAGTTACCACATCTTCCACATCCATGGTTTTGGAGAGCAGGACCACTACAGTGTGTAGTTTTCAAATTATTTTAAAAACCCTGATCCCCCCCCCATTCCCCATAAACATTTCTGCAATGTTAGTTGCAGCAGCTGAATCTCTTTGGTTGAATCAGCCTATTAGTGACCAATTTATTATTTTCACCTGCATCAGGGCTCTTGAGACAGTATTTCTGAGAAAAAAAAAGGCGAAACAGCTTAACATTTATATAAAAAAAAAGGTTTTAGCATTGAAATGTTTATTTTTCACAAAGTATTGAAAGTTAAAACAAAGGTTTTTGCATAACATATATGATCCATCAATATATATATATACCATAACATAAGATGAAAATTAATGGATTGACAGGGCCAGAAGAACCTTTTTTGCCAGCAGGAATATGATGAATACTAGAATACCACTGAATGCCCTGTGGTTATGTTATTTGTACATGACGGTAAAGGCCATACAGAAAATATTGCAGGCCATTTCCCCTACTGTGAGAATTTAACATTCCCCCTGAAATTCTACTCATGCAAATGATAGTTTTTGTTTTTAGTGTTTGGAATGCTGTACATTACTTTATTTGCTTATGATGTTTAACCCTTGTTTCTCGAGCATTATGATTTTGATGAACAGCAGTACGTTCACCCATTTTAATTAATTGTGCTGGTGATGGCCGTCGAAATGCAGCGTCAGTCTCCTAAGAAGATACCCTGCATTCGTTTAGGATTCAGTTTATTTAGTTCTGCAAGTTATTGGCGACACCATGAAAGTATGACGGCCATGGAAATCTTTGCGCAGATGTGTGAAAACAACAGGTTTGCGTCTGAGGGGAGCCGGGGATGTCGAGAATCAGAAAAGGGGTGGCGCAGACGTCAAAGTACTTGTACGTCTGCATGTTTCATACTCGTAGACTGTAAATCGCTTCGGTTGCTCTCAGCATTTAATCCTCACACCCAGACAAGAGGGAACTGAGAAACCGACTCCGCAAATCTCTTAAGACGAGTCATTTTTCCTTCGGTTTAGCGGCTGTGCATTTTTCCAGCTTGACTTTTAACGTGGAGATCTGGGACGTTCAAATTTGTCCTTGAAGTTAAATTTGATTTGAAAATGATCACTGGTCATTTTCATTTTAAACATTTCGTTTGACTTGAACCATTACCGGTCAACTCTTCAGTAAGGATACAGCTTCCACATTATCTGAGGGGTGGGAATCTCTCATCCTAACTCTTCACAGTTAACCCTGTGGACGACCACCTATAGTACATTTGATGTGGGGAAAGTATGAAGTGTAATTGTTCAGAAATCCCAACAACCGCATAATTCATCATAGAACAGCACCACGTTTAACTGCCGGCAAAAGGCTAGTTTTTCTGAAAGACTGCGGTAAAAGTTTGTACAGTATGAATTGGGAATTTCCGATTTGATTCATTAACGATCCCTTGATTTGAAGGGTTAAGGCAGACAAAGACATTCCCTCGGGTTCCAAAGATGTAGCCCCAGTATGACTGGATTTTTTTTTAAAACGCGGAAGATGATTATTTTTTTCTAAACGTAGGATGCTATAGAGAGGTTAAAAAAAACTAAGACTCGCAGCCTGTGGCACGGTTAATGATCTTCTTCCTCCTGATGCAGCTGTGACTGTGCATGTAACTAATGTTTAGCTTGTAACTTCAAATTGTAGCGGTGATTTTTTTTTTTAAAAAAAGATAATAAAAACGGCAATACAATTCTCCTTAGCGTGGCCGCATTTTTTTATGTGCGTTTGTCAGCAGTTGGTTTTATTTTCTTCCTGCCTTCAGAGATTCAATGACGAATCTAGAGAACGGTGACTTAAATTGCTCAAGACCGAGATCTACACTGTGTTTCAGGCCCCTTGCCTCTTTTAAATAGCTCATGATGGGTTATGGAGATCTGTTCGCCTGGAAAGACTTCGATGCCCTCGATGACTTTGGCGCAGAGCGCAAAAACACTGACCGTGATCTGCCCCTCTCCTGCCAAACAAGCAAGTTCATTTAAGGGAGCGCAGCGCCTGCCGGTGATCTCGAAACAGATCTGGAAACGATCGATTGAACGTTTCTGCAGCGAATTGTCCGAAGAAGGCATCGAGCAAAGGACTGTGAAACAAGCGTGACAAATCGCAGGAAACCGGCAATTATTAAGACGAAACGACCAATAGTACCCACTCTTGGAAATTATTTGACTAACATGTACAGTACCTTATTTATTGCGTGTGTATTCGGCAAAAAAAAAAAAACGCTTGGAAAACGTACTGGTAGTTAATGTATCTTTTGTAAAGAATGTGCACCGGTATTTTGCCAATTACATTTACAGTCTCCTTAGTTTGCTGTTGTTTTACGTGATTTATTTTGGGTCTGGTCAATGTCACGCCAAGTTTGCGACAAGGCACTGCACAAAACGACGAGAAAGGGAGGCGTGCTGTGTGTAGTCAAGAGCTGTATAGAGCTGTCCTCAATCTTACAGCGCCATCACCTGGTGGAAAGAATTCGAGTTTTTTTTTCAAGCTTTAAACATTGTCAGGGAGCTGAGGTACCCCATTTTGTATCTTTAATCTGGCGAAAGGGAAGTGCTCTCACTTCTGTTGCCCGCAGCTGCCATTACTGCCAACGGAAAACTCAAATGACAAAAAAGTCGCCATGCTTGTACAGTGTTTCTTGTAATGTGGCCCCAGGTGTTCCACCAATGAAGGTCCCCACCCAGCTAAGCACAAGGCAAGCAGCTCTTATTCTCCTGCAGCAAATGAGTTGCAAAAGTGAGAAATGGATTTAGTGTTGGAATTGAGAAGCAGCTTTTTAGGAAAACTTGACTGTGCCTCAAGCCCAGAGTGGAGGCTGAAGACTCTGAACACCTGTGAACTATTTCTATGAATGGGTGCTTCCTTTTGACTGGATGGGTTACCCTTCTACACTTCCCTAAGTGGAACTGGTGGTGCTCCTTCACATCCTGGGGGGTTTTAAGTGCTCCTAGTACCTATGACAACGGTCTCTTTTTCTTTTTTGCACAGACTGAGGCACCAGCTAGGCTGTAAGACTTAATTATGCTTATTATTAAGCAAGTACAGTAGGCTTGCTTAATAATAAGGCCAAACTACTCAGTAAGACATGGAATGTGGAGACTGGCAGTGTGACAGAACTGCACCTGAAAACACTTGCTGTAAAAGAGCTTCAGTTAAATACGATGGGAACAGCAGATCCTCTGGCCTTGAACAGGATCCTGGGGGTTATTTAGTTTCTCCTGTCGGTTTCTCAGTTTCTCAGGCATTCAAAATCGGTCGTTACGAAGTCAGTGCAGTGGACCTCTTCAGGACCAACATTGGAATATGAACCAGAGGTCATAAGTGAAGATTATGTGGGCGTGTATTTAAAATTTAAGAATGGAAGCCACTTCTTTATCCAAAATGTGGATGTGGGTGTATGGCACATGCTGAGCAGTCATGCTGTTAAAACTAACAACTTGGCATCTTTCAAGAAACACCTGGCAGAGATCCTTGGATCCATGTGTTGTGAACTAAGCATGTCTAAATGGGCCGGATCATTTGTGAGCTTTAATGTTCTTATTTCATCCTCGCCAAAAACAACTTTCTTCTCTCCTGTCCTTGTGCCTCCTGGGAAACGAAAAGCAGAGCTACAGGTACAGCACAGAGTGCTCATTTTAACCCAGGAATTGATTCTCCATTTATATAACGTTTCATAGGTTTCTCTAAGAATAGGCTTGACCACACTGATAGAGGCAGTGCTGCTGAAGACTGCTTCAAGATATTCTAGTGAAATCACCCCCAATTTACTACAGTATGCCGAGATGACCATCGCATTTCAATGGATTGACTATAGCCCAGGGACCTGCACCAGTCATGGGCAGCCTAAAGCCTCCTTTTAGGATCCAAGCTGATCTCATGTGACTTCCTGTTCTCAAACTGCACTCCCACATAGTTTCCACTTGTCAAGTTCCTTGACTTGGTACATGATTACGTTCCTAGGTATAGTGTCTTTAAAATAGAATACGTCTGGAATTTTCCACTTTGTTCAAGCGCGGTTGAAACTTGCAGCTGGATTTAAAAGGAGCAGGACCCTTCAGCCCCACCCCCCCAATGTCAGGAGCCACTTGGCGTTGGTGACGCCCACAACTCTAAACTGAAAAGTGAGACGGGAAGACCCAGGTAAAATATTCAGAAATTAAGACTTTTGACTTTTCAAATAATTTAATAGAACAAAAATGCCTGCCAGCCTGACAAGACACCCAAGAGAAAATGCTTCACAGTTTACCTGTTCAGATTGAATACAAATATATTAAGTTAAAAAATATCATATATAAATAATGCATATATATATATTTTGTACGTACTTCCTGTTAATGTGTGAAGGCAGTTATATGTGCTACGTCTCTCCTCCACCTTGTCTGATCTGCCCAGTACACACTGCGTTGCTCCTGAGCTCAGGGCAATGGCACCTTTCTGTCTGTCTTCTCTCTCAGCAGGGAAAGAGAATTAGTCCCAGATACAGTCGGTCTTTCATCCTTCCTGAGGATTCCAGCCGAGTACAGCTCCAAACACAAAACAGCACCTTCGGCATCTGGAAATGTGCAGGATCAGTAAATCATTGGTGTACATTTTATTCGAGGTGAGTTCCTTAGTTATTTAGAGTGTCAATTGTGGACAATATCCGGGCCTGTGCTGGTGTTATGTCCTGGGAGTTGCTGTTCTTTGCTGTCTTCTTCTGTCTCCTCCACCTTCAGCACATTGCAGTCCCCTATGATGGCGTACTCTATATCTGATCCCACCATCTGTAAGCTCTGGGCTGCAGGAGCAGCTGAAGGGCCTCGTGCTGTCCGTTCTGCCCCCTTGTGGCAACTAGTGCAGCAGCTCTTCGGGTGCTCCTCTGTACAGGACAGAAACAGGTCATTTCATTATGACATCAGGAGTCGGGCCTTGCTCTCATCTCCGCCAATACAAGTTTGAGCATTTAGAATGAGTTACAAAATAAGGGTTCACTGTATTGGAAAACATTTTCCATATGTAATGGAAAATGGCTACACACTACACACAAAGCTACACATTGGCTACACACCACCAATGTGCAGGTGAGGCTGCACATTGGTGGTGGTGGAGGGGTCCCCATTACCTGTAAAGCGCTTTGAGTGGAGTGTCCAGAAAAGCGCTATATAAGTGTAAGCAATTATTATTAATTATTATTATTAATGCCTGTCATACATGCTTAATTCGTTACTCGAACACTGCTCATAAGGTTAAAACTCGTTTAAGGGAAATTATATTCCCATTAATAATCTCGATTGGCTCCAGAACTCAAAATTATTCCCTCAAACAACCAACTTCTTCACCATAATACAGCACAGATGGCCTGGTTAACCTAAGTGTGAAAACAACAACCCTCCAGCCCATTTACAGTACAGTAGTTACATCGTTCCAGTTGTTAGCTACTGCCTAAATATTAGACATGACACATTAGGCACTTCATGATTTATAACTTAATACTGGTACATCCAAACAGTAGTTACTATCCTGTACTACAATACATGCACTTGACGCACATAAGCTAAAATGTAAAAAAAATGAACGTAAATTCCAAAATTGTGCGATAAAAAATGACAGCTAAATATTTGAGAAGATACAAGAAAAGATTAATCTCGGCAATCAACAAACAGTAGGAAGTACTACATCTCATATAAATAAAGAGGGGTGCACACATCTGACTTCTTTTGTGAATAGAAAATGAAACATCTGTGGGAAGTGTGGGATTTTTTTATTTGACCACAAAACAGAGAGCTTCCATTCATGTGTTTCTGCTTTGAACTCTTCTACAGAGCACCTTCTGAGCATTAAAGACTACTGACTTCACATCCTGTGGCTGTGGGCTTATTACAGCAGGCCCAATTCCCAAGAAACCAGCAGTGGTGCCCTCTTTTGCCTGTTCCCCATAGTTCTTCTCTCCAGAGTAAGGGAATAAACAGAAAGACTTGGACTTCAAGTCTTGCGGAATATCCCGTACACTGATGGGTAACAGATTACCAGGATGGGTTAAAACTCTCAATATTATATTCTTGCAACTAGTATTATTGTTACACTGGTGTTACACTGTGGAGTAAAGCAGTAGCAACAATATGTGTGATTTGCATTGCGATGCAAGACAGATGAAAGAATACTGGTGTCCTTGCCTTGTTTTTCTGTACAACAGCTCTGGTACAGATGGTCCCAGTAGCTCCCAGCTCTCACAGTGCTCATCGTGTTGTCATTCCCAAATATGCATCCACTCAAAGTGCAGTGGGAAATGCAGATGGATGTAGAGGCAGGAGGGCTCTGTCCACCTTTCAAAACAACAGAAGCACCCCACTTCAGATTCAAAGAGGTTCATTGGCGAGAGCGATGAATTATAGTGCTGCCAAAGCAGGAACAATTAACACAACGTTTATAGCAAAAAAACTATTTCAATATCCTTTACAGCTGATTGGCGCGAACCTGCTCACTCCTTTCTGACTAACAGGTCTTAACAGGCGATCGATTTATGATGAACAGACACGGGTGGGAATGACAAAACATTCCCACCAGGAGCATATGGCTTTTTTTCTCCCTGCGTCAGTCCAGTTGGTTCCAGGTAACGCACCTGAGTGGCACTGGCACAGGGCTGTCACCAGGTCCAACCCCCCCTTAAAACGTCTCAAGAACCGGAAACGAATTTTAAGAACCCCCCCCCCCCACACACCCAAACGGAAAAGTGGGATCAATCTGCCAGGGATTACGAATCCGGCTATAGTAAGTACAGGGAACCCAGTGCTTCCTCAGGACCGGAGCTTGATGACTTACTTGAAAAGGGGAGACTCTGGATTCCATTGTACCTCACAGGCCTTCCAGCAGATTCTGCAATGGAATGAAAGAAATAACGAGTTGCAAATAACGGAAATAAACCATCTTAGGTTTATTGCGCATGATAAAAGAGTTTTAAGAATGTTTTTACAGTTTTTTACAGTAGTATACTGAGAAGGAAATAAGTTCTTCTGTGTGGTTATGAATTTCCCTATACTAGGGGAGTTTGGGGAAATAAATCTGCCAAAGTATGCCTAATGTTTTTTTTAAGGCCTCGTTATTTCATGTGCTGCTTCCCTACTTGCAACCAACACAATAACAGTCGTTTGTGCTTCCACTTTGAGTCTCACAGCTGTAAGCTTTATCGTCACTAGCAGAGTGGTGCGTGACCTGACTGCGTCACAGATACTGCACACAGCTGTTAAAAGCGGTACTGAGAAAAACAACAGATCTGATCTGCTTTCGTAAAGAGATCTTTCACTCGGCGCGTGTCTGCGAAGGTGATGTCGTCCTTGGGACTTGAAACGTGCCTTTCTGCAGGCGGATTTTAGTCCATTTTTTTAAAAAACAGGACACTTCAGAATTTATAACTTAATGCTAGTGAATGCAATCCCTAAACAAACACATACTTTCATACAAATTCTGAGCAGTATTCACTACCTTTCACAATCTCTATTATTTTTCCTTCAACATCACTTCCTCTCCACAAAATATTGAAGTATGACACTATTTTAGATCCACTAATCATGAGATGATACGGGTTCGAAAAATGCATATTCTGAAAGGACAGCAAGGACAATTCCACTGGACCTTAAATGCACAATGTAGTGTAACGGGACACCATTGAGTTCAACTTGTATCGCTTGTGTTAAAACTGGAATATAATAATCACATTTCAACAGAGCTTTTCATGGCACAGGATCCCAAGGCATTTCACATACAGGAGGGGAGTTTCACAAGGGAACAGGGAATTCAACTGTGTAATTCCGACAGGAAGTATTCTGAGCCTTTATTTCTGAGAAAAGTAAAAATAAGAAGACCATGGCACAGGCAATACAAAATCAAGCATACTTTAAATATACTTTTTTCTCTTCACCACTGTTTCGGTTGCAGGTGCCTGAAGTATTGTGCCAGTTCTTTTAAAATAACTACACCCTTAAAAATAGAAACAAAAAATCTAAAATAGGGTAGAACACTCCATTTAAACCTAGTTAACATTAAAGATAACTGGATTTCTTGTTGATTGTTATTGTTACAGAGTAAAATGCAAAATATTTGGGTTATTTCAATTAAATATATTTTTTATATTTTAATAAATTACCCCAGCTGCTCCAGGGGTGCCGTATAAATGGCTGACCCTGCGCTCTGACCCCAAGCTTCTCTCCCTGTCTGTGTGTCTCAGGGAGAGCAAGCTGGGGTATGCGAAAAGACAAATTCCTAATGCAAGAAATTGTATATACAGTAGCAAATAAAGTGATCTAAATATATTACAAGATATCATAAAATGTTTTGTATTTCCATCCTTTGCTTTTATATACTATCTAATGTTGTATGGTTTTTAAGTATAACTTGTATTCTAGCCAGTTTTATGGTGCAGTGGTTGAGGTTCTGAACTTGTAACTCGAAGGTTGTGGGTTCAAATCCCAGATGAGGCACAGCTCTTCAACCCTTGATCAAGGTACCCAAATTACCCAGCTGTAAAAACAGGTGCTAAAGCAAGTCATTGTGAATAAATTAGCCAAGTAAATTAGTACAATAAACAGATGGATTCCGATAAGTATAAATATCTTTTGTTTCCTCCTTTTTTCAAAACAATTACACATAGAATTTTTAACATACTGTACTGTATTTGGCATTGAAAACAATTTTCTCTCCAGTGGAACCTGTATGAGAACCTCTTGGTTTTATTCCAAAAATGTCTAATTACTTTCACAAAATTTTGAATAACCTAAACTTGGTGATTAAAATGTTCTTTATATATAAATTGTATCACTAACGTTCTTTTATGCCAACACCTGAGACTTAAATGAATTTAATTCAGTGGCTGTAATTATTCCAAATAACTCACCAGATCTGTGGATTCCTGAAATGGGGACTCTGGCTGTAAACAGAAAAATATTTTTTATAAATATTTTTATAAATATTAAATCTAAAACATTGTAGGTATATGTATAAATTATACAAATAAAGTATCAATTTACATTCCTTGACCAGTTTTAACCATACACCACAAAATGGCCTCAATAATAATGTTTTTTTACTTGTTACAATGTTGTGCAACCAATTCCACTATTTGTTCTTTATTAATCAACATCAAGGGTTTTTTTTTTCCCCTCAAAATGGCTCTAGGTAAAACTAAAACTTCATATCACGACTAACAAAAATGAGCCCAGCCTCACAGACACTGCCCTCAAAGCTTTGGGGTTGTTACACCTATTTGTTGCTCTGCAACAGGGGTGCCCATTTCCAGTCCTGGGGAGCCAGAGGGTTTCTGCTCTTTCTGCCACCTGAACCCCCTAATTGAACTAATCGTTTGCTTCACTGGATAACTGGACAGGTTGAATTGTTTCTTTGTTCTTAAGAGGATGGAGATTTAGAAACAGCGGATGGGCTCTCCAGCGCCAGGTGAATTCCAGATGAACTCCAGAGCGACAGGCCTACCTGGAGATCCCGTGATCCTTGCCGAGAGGAAGGGGTCGCACTTCTCCAGGGCCTCGTAGAAGAGCGAGCAGGCCCTCCGGCCTTTGCGCACGACGGTGGAGAGGAGCTGGGAGGCCTGCTCCAGCTCTGTGGGCTTCGACCTGATGGTGGCGCACTCGAACGCGGTGACGGCCTGGGCGCTGTAGAGGTAGCTGGCGATGCTCTCGACGAGGCCCAGCGACATGGAGGTGCACAGCTTGTAGCTGTGTCTGCGCAGCGTTTCATCTTGGGGGACGAGCGAAACGGGGGGGGAGGAAAGGCAAGGTGAGATCAGACACCCCGGTCGGTGCTCTCTTACAGGGCACCACAGCACAAGCTGCTGTCCCCAGTCCTGCTCTTGGAGAGTCGGCGTGTCTGCAGGTTTTCCAGGCCGCCATAAAGCCAGTAACGAGCTGATTCAAGTCGTTAAGAGCCCGGCTGGACTGAAAACCTGAAGGCACTCTGATCCTCCAGAGCCAGGACTGTTCTAGAACAACAAGGAGTTGGAAGAGACTGTTGGCAACAGCCACTTGTATCGACTTTGGCCAGAGGCCAAGAGTAATGGCTTTCTCTGGAAAACTACAACCAACTCTTGCAATTGACTACTACAGCATGTACAGTACAGAAAGTAGACGTCTTTAGTCATCATAGCCACAGCAACAGAACTACCCATGAGAGGGCAGAGTAACACTTGAGTAGGTTCCCTATCAGAATGAAAGCTGATTTTACTGCAACAAAAACAAAGTCTTAGTGTCCCCATTATTGTGAAACATCCTCATTTCAATGACGTATTATTTTTTTTTTGTATCTGATCATATACCACAGCATAGATTCTCCTCTGTTGAAGAACAGAAATCCGTGAGCTGCATTGTTTTGGACTTCACAAGACCACGGCCCACATACTCTGGTCTGTAAGCGAGGGGTGTCTGCAGAAATACATTTCCAGTTCTTTGGGGAAAAACAAGATGGGGCTATGACTGTAGGCTCGCCATGATCATTATTTTGGATTGCCCCCGACCAATTGCCTAGAGCTCTGCAGCGGGTTAACCAGCGGCTTAGCCTTCAGGAACACGTCAACGGGCTCTATTTTAGGATGAATGACCGAGACAATAATATATTGTACATTCGTAGTTCCGGTGGGTAGCTGCGTCAGCATGCGTAGGCTGCAAAGGAACAAGTAATAGGTTTATTCCATGCTGAAAAAAAGAAGAGAGAAAACAACGTTTCGGCTGTGGAGCCTTTTTCAGGTGCACGAAGAAGGCTCCACTGCCGAAACGTTGTTTTCTCTCTTCTTTTTTTCAGCATGGAATAAACCTATTACTTGTTCTATCGTATATTAGTGCCTGGACAGCTTCCTAACTATTAGCCAAGAAAGTAAGTCTTGAAACAGTATCCCGGAGAAGGAGTTTTCCAGTAAATTAAACTGCGATTAATACTTATACAGTTTTTAAGTTTTTAATCTTATTTAAAAAAAAAACACTGAAACCGCTTTGGATCATTTTAAGGAAGGTTTTGCTGCGAAGACCCTGCACTTTTTTGGGGACCCTGCACTTAGATGTGCTACTTTTTATTTTATCCCTCAAAATCCTCTGAAAGAAAAGCGCAGTTTCACTACAACTTGAGGTCGGCTGCCTTTCGGCTCGAGTTACTAACGCAGCCTTTTGTGTTTCAAGAGCATCGTAACAGTCCCTTTAAATACTTTTTATTTAAGAATTGTAGCCTTAAGAATTGCAAGGCTTTTCGCACGTGACCGCAGACAACAGACTTGTTTTCCCCATCATATGTTGATCGATATGTAACCAAATTATAACGAATAATAACGATTTTGTTTCCCGTCTTCATTCGAAACCGCCTTCAGTCCTGCAAGGAGCCGGAGGTTCGCTTTCCCGGCGACTCCCTCACGCGCTCCAGGAATTTCCACACCACGCTCGCTCGCGCTCCGGTCTCGCCCCCCAAGCGCCTCGAGACACGGCGCCGCTCAGCAAAAGCTAAACGTCCGGGACGCGATAGATTTTCCCCATCTTTGAATCGACCCTCGCTATTGATCGAGCGGTCCTGATCAATCAGAAACGGTTCGATCAGAGGGGTCGGCAGTCCGTCTGCCACTTCTCCCCCACCCACCCCCAAGACAACACGTTAAATGTTGAAAACATATTCGACGAAACACTGAATCGAAGATTGACGCTTCTTACCGTACGAAGGCATGCCCCCCTATTCGTCACGTCGAAAAACAGAGGCGAACTTTATCGTCTTTCCACCTGCTCGCTCGCTGTTGGCCACAACATCTGATCCCGGACCCCCGCGCAAGCCTCTAATATTTCGTTTCTGTTTCTGGAGTGAAATCCCCTTCTCCGCCGCGCCTGCGCTGTGACCGGTTTTGCCGCTGAAGAAAACCCGTCTTATGCAAAATCCCACCCGCTGCGTGTCCGCCTACGCGTGCAGGGGGTGCTTGCTGGTTGCTTAGTGTACACGCACAGCCTTGAATTTTACATCCCTACCGCCGGCGATTCAACGGGGATTGTTATGTCTCTGTGCTAGCGAGTCGCGGATAGCTTTTCCCCCTGACGTAACGAATCCATGACTGAATACTCGGCAGAGGGAGCCAGATATTGACAAGTGAAGGCGTCATGTTAAGCATGTGGGCCTAGATTTTGTGGTTTTTTTTTTAAAAAGTTCCGTTATTAGCTGGTGCGAGTTGACGGGAGTCGGTGAAACCGCATCAGGCCCTGTACGCTTGCACATCCACCCCGGCTAGAGTCGCAGGCTGATCCGCTGATCCGCCGACTAGCGAGCCTGCGGCGCCGCGGCCACACCGGCGGCCTCCTCTGCTGTGCTCAGGGAGGGGCCAGTTCGCCGAAAAGGGGTTTTGCCTGGAGGTTTTTTTTTTTAAAATTAATTTCCAAAATGTACAGGACGTGCCGATAATTTGGGGAGGGGGGAGGCGGGGGTTGGGATCGGTCACAGATGCAGGATGAAGATCTGGAGCTCAGAACACGTCTTCAGGTATGTGCGCTGTCATTTTGACATGACTTGCGTGAGCCGACTGACAGCGTTACGGTACCTTGCTTGATGCGAAGAGCTTCGTCCTCAGAAACAAAAAGAAAAAGAGGAAACGTGTACTGTATCATTCGGCATGCGCAGTTCTCTTAAAAAAATAAGATAACTGCGCTACGTTGATGTGTTTGTCGAAACCTTGGGCGTTATCCTACTGAATATAAAAATACCACGGGAAGCGATTGAGTATATCCTTAGCGTGTCAGTGGTTTTTACACAGGGATTCTACAGTATATGAAATGCAATTGCAAATGGTCATTTTGGGGGGAATCCCAGCGGCTAAAATAGACTCGTTTTTCAGGGGTTAAGCAGATCGCCAGGCGATGACTCAATGTGTTACTCAACAAATACAGAAAAGAAGACAATACTGAAATAGATACAGAAATAGACACTTTACAGCCAGAGGAATTCACAATTGTAAAAACTTAACATATTTCAATTGTATGTCTTGAATTTTGATTCTTTAAATTTCTAATATAATTTAAATAACAAAAAGGAATTCAACTTTAAACGCATGCATAGAGGGAGCAGTATTAGACCATTTACTTCTGTTGATGAAGTATTTAGCCAAAATAATTAACAGATGAATAAAAAAAAACATATCCTTTATCCAAATCAGATCTAACAAAATATAAAAAAATATCAAAATCTTTCCATTTAACATTTACCTTTAAATGTTGAACAATAACATTTTGCAAATCTATCCAGAACAGTTTTGTATATATGCGGCAGGCATGTTGATTTCAGGACTTCCCACGAAACCCCAGAGACGTCCTCCCTTTGGGAAGCTGGGAACAGGTGTTCACGTCCTTGAATTCACAACTGCATTTCATGCAGCATTTTGAAATAGAAGTACATTTTTTGCAAAGGCATTTCACTGCAAATGAGCCGCCGGGGCCAAAGATTTAATCAATCTTTATTTGACGTTATTCAGAACCATTTAATTTTTTCTATGTTTATTTTATTGATTGCAATTATGACTGCATGACGGCACTTTTGAGTGACGGGGCATGATATACAAAGTCCTGCCAGTGTTTATACCTCTTAGAGCACTAAGATGCACTTTGATTCCTGAATCCCCTTTGTCTTCATAGAGGTGACTCACAAATCAATTTGTAACCGACTCTCAGGTGTATAGACATCGGCAGGATTCTGGACATCACGTCTCATCCCTCAAAATGACCGTCATACTGTAATTTGATGTCGTTACTTCCCAGAGAGCTCTGGGACACCTTTAAATAAAAAAAGATACAGTGACACAAAAGAGAAAATAACAGTTCTGAAGAATATCCCATGCCGCCGGCGTCAGTGTCGCCTTCTTGTGCTATTTATTTTAACTAGAACTAGGGGCGCAGAAGAACTTGACAATGTGTGCTTTTCCAGCTATCCCTGGGAGACGGTGATTAAGGCGGCCATGAGGAAGTACCCCAATCCCATGAACCCCAGCGTCGTGGGCGTGGACGTGCTGGACAGAAACCTGGACACGCACGGCAGGCTCCACAGCCACCGCCTCCTCAGCACGGAGTGGGGACTGCCGGCCATCGTCAGAGCAGTACTGTACCTCTCCCAGCTTTCTCCTAATTTTTTTTTGTGGTCTATAGTAGCATGCAATTAAAATTAAAAAAACAAAAAATTATTTGAAAATTATCTAAATAACGGATATTTTTTTAAAAAGTGTAGTTTGAATAACTGATCTTATACCAGCACTGAAAGTTGCCCTCCTTGCCTTTACCAGTATGATTACAACTCTGTCCGCTTCACTGTGTGTTAATGATATGAGCTCTTCACAGCTCTGAATGTGACTGTGATTCCTGGCTTTCTGTGGTGTGGGTTCAGTATGGTAGTACCTACTGTACTTCCTTTTTCAGATTCTGGGCACGAGCCGGACTCTCACCTACGTCAAGGAGCACTCCATTGTAGATCCCGATGAAAAGAAAATGGAGCTCTGCTCGACAAATGTTAGTGGGTTTGTATGTCGCAACCTTCTTTCAGAATAAAATATGTGCTTACAGAGCAGAATTAATCTGATTTATAATCCACGCCTAACATCAGAATTCAGGTATTCATCTTAAAATATATATTTAGATGAGTAGATCCTCAAGCTAGTGAATAAAATACTGTACGCTAAGGCTGTTACAGTGTATAAATAGTACAAAATGTTATGTTAATTATGTTTAGAATGATAACCAGATTTCACAGCTACTGCTACATTCTCTCTGTTTATAATGGGATTTCTCGTCTCAGAACTCCGGAACTTGGGAGATTTAATTTAACACAGTACACCTATCCAGATAAGGCATTCAAAGGACAGTTCTGTATTTGCTTTACCTAAACTTGCAGAAAATAGAGCAATTTAACACCGATGTCATCTCTTCACAGATAACACTGACAAATCTAGTATCAGTTGATGAAAGATTAGTGTACACGCCCCACCCGGAAAACCCAGGAATGTAAGTAAAAGTGCTTGTAAGATTTATTTTTTCTTAATCCCCTGGAAGGTTATAGGAGAGAGGAGGCCAGTTGTCTCATACACAGGTAGGTCTATTATCCTTCGTAACCACAGATCCTGTTTCACTGCTTCTTGAAATGAGCCAGCGTATCGGCATCAACACCATGGGGACACCTCTTGTTCCACACCCCCACCACCCTTTGTGTAGAACAGTGCCTTCTGTTCTCAGTTTGAGCACAGGAATGTACAGTATCTGTTGCCTCTTCTCTCAACTGGGGCCAGAGTAGCAATATCTTTTTTGTTACAAGGTGAGTAGAAGTGAATACAGAATGCTAAATGAGATCTTACTAGGGCACTGTACAATTTTATAGTGTCATATAGGAGCTGACACACAAGCGTTTTTCAAGAAAAGGCTGGATTAGGTCTTTGAAACAATTAATCACTAACTAAGGTACCATACAGATGGACTAGATGGACCAAGTGGCCTCCACTCATTTGCAATTGTTCCTAGTTTAAATTATATACTTTTTTAACTATATACAGTATTCTAATGTTTGCATTTTTATTGCTTCTCTACATGGTTTAGAAGTTGTAAATAATGTGCAGAGGAAGTTTATCCAAACACAGTGTTTCCCATAATCCCATCTCACCATAGTTTATTTATATATACAGTAGCATGAGTATAGTGAAGCTAAGGCCTGATTAAGGTTCAGTCCTTCTTTTGCGTGGTCAGAGACCATGTTCTACACAGTGGGCAATCGAGTTTTCTCATCTGCCCAGCTCCTTTAGAGACTCTGTGACTGTCAGTACTTTCCAAATGCTTTCATGTCTAATTTAAGGCGTCTCAGGGTCCCAGCAAGTCAGTTTGCTGCGGCCTTTTCACTCCTTTTGCTTCATTTGTATAACATGCATGTGCTGTTACACAGTTGTTTTGAGTCTCTTTATCATTCATCAGCAAAAAAAAGTACCATTAATATTGTTACTACTATTTGGTTAAAAACAGAAAACAAAATGTTGCTTTAGATCAGACTTAACGTATGACAGGCATGTAATTTCTGGAATATGTAAAATTCTGATGCTTTTTTTTCCATATTCTTTCCTTTTAGCACTGTTTTGACCCAAGAAGCAATCATCACAGTCAAGGGAGTCAGCCTCAGCAGCTACCTGGAAGGCCTGATGGCTCTTAAGATATCTGCTAATGCTCGAAAGGTAGAGAACCTGCGACTGTACACACCCCTGAACAAGTTTACCCCTGTTTACTGAGACAACCTGGTACATCCAACACATTAAATGACAGGCATGCAGTGACTGTGCAACAGTTCCATGTCCTGAGAACTCATGCATATTGCACTAGTTCATGCTTCCAAAAAACAGGATTAAAATTTAAAATATTTGCTGGTTTGCTTTTGTAAATATTATTTGTTTGGGCCATTATTGGAAGTAAAAGCAGAAGACTTATTTTTAGTGTGGAAGAAGGGATAAGCAGACTGTGGATAAATTGATAGAGAAATAACGAGACATATATTTAAATTCTCAGTTTTTACTAATGTCTAATCAAAATCTTTAGCCATTTCATACAAAACTGATTACCTTCCACAAATAATTAAAGTGATTTTCATGTATTTTATAGCTTTGTTTTATTTAGTAATACGTAAGCGATCAAGCAGTTTCTTTTGACTCTAGGTTAGAAACCGATTTTTGTGCTTTTGTTTTGCATTTTTCTGTGGAGGATTATCTCTACGGAGTGTGAGGGACAGGTTTGCTTGCTGGGGATGGGGGCTGTATTGATATGATATGTGGTGTGCTGCGTTTTTTATGTGTTACTTCAGGGTTGGGATGCTATTGAGTGGATCATTCAAAATTCTGAAAGGGAAAGTGTTCCCTTCTGCAGCCTGTGCTAGAGATCGGTAACTACTGTTCACTTGTTTCTGTGTGACCGTCCAGTGAGTGTTTGCATGAAGGATGCATTTCATCATGGGTGGCAATATGGCATTTGCTTTCACAGGGAATTTTCTCATTCCAGCCTCCTTATTTTATCAGCCGGGCAGTTCAGGCTCTGAACTTCTGCTATCTTTTCTGTGTTAGAACTTCTCTGCAGTGCCACCACACTGACCTAAGAAGTAGCGTCTGAAATTGTCGTCTTTCATTCCACAAATGTGCTTTTAACGGAAAGACAGCTTTGACAATGAAAGCAGAAATCTGTCCTTTGCATTTTATGAAATAATCAAAAACCCGTAAAATTGGAGTTCCAGACTCTGTCCATGCTGCACATTTCTACTAGGTATATTAGGTATCTTAAAACTGTCTTGTAAAGTGCAGTTGACATGCAGATTTAATAGCAAATATGCACTTAAGACACTAAAATACTGATTATCATTTGGGGTTTATTCTCCCAAACTGCTGGGGGTTTACACTTGCTCATTCCAGCTTCCAGAACAAGTATCTAAAGGAGCTCAGAACTGATTATGGATCAAAGTGCCCGACAGTGGTGCTGAAGTCAAGGAACTGATGTCCTGATTTCTTTCAGGAAATGGGTGGGTGAGATTTATGGGAATTCCTTCCAGAAGGAACTCGCTCTGCCAAATGGCCTCCCCTCATTTGCCACCTTTCTTATGTCCTTATGTAAATAAAACTCTCCTTATCATAAGGATACTATCATAGTTTCCTTATGATTTTTGATAAATGGAGAAATAACTTGTTCAAACACGGTAATCTCTGCGTTTGTCAATAACAGTGACACTTGAAAGCAGAAATAGCCTATATAAGGAATTTGTGTCAAATCTTACTGTGCAGTGTAATGTACAAACCATAACTGCTTAAGTCATGTTTGGATGCATTAAACCCTAGTAACTACTGTGTAGTACTTCATCCTGAGGAGGTTAGAGAAGGATTTTGTAGAACATTTGAAAGATCAGTTATGCAGTGTGGACGTGTTCTTGAGTGCACAAACTGGTGAAGTTTACATAATTAATAATTGGAATGGTTCTAAATGAGAGGGAGCATTTTGCCCATCTAGGTCATAAATAGTAAGTGCTTGTATTAATACATTTTCAATGTGCATATATGCATTCCAGTAAGATAACACTAAATGTTTCCCAAAAGATTCATATTTAGAAATAACACTTTTGATTTTTCAGTCCTAATACTTTTGTATGACACTGTATATGTGAGTGAAGTATTTTGTTGTTGCATTCTTTAAAATTGTATTTAATTCTAATCTTTGACTAGGCTTTGGCATCTCTGTCGAGCTGTTACAGCAGGTGAAGCTATCATGTACTGTAAAAAAGTTTGGAAAATTTGGCACAAGTGCTACGTGCAGAGCCTTAATACAAAAATACATCATCCAGAAACCTCCCACACGTTAAACCTTTTCTTTGAAAATCAGTGTGCCATATTGCCTGTTGATTATGAAGCCTGTCAACAATTTCTGTTGCTTTCCATCATTTACATACAGCTTTTATTGTAGCTTTTATATCATTTTATAATTTGAGTAATTGAAAATGCCAAAGGGAAAAGCACACTCCATTGTGTTCGTAACTTTGGCATTTAATTTTGTTTGTCAACATTTTGCCTTAAAACCCTAACATTACCATAATATTTTAAGTTGTTTTCAGGGTCGATATGTTCATGTTTACGAATGTTTAATTTATTAACATGTACAATGGCTCCTGTAGGTTTGTACAGTATATCAGGAGTACAAATACGGACAGGACCTAATTTAGCTCTGATGTTTTTTCTGTATACACTTTATTTGCAGTTCACAAAATAGCAATTGTCTCTTGTCCATAGTATCTTTAATATACATGTTGGAGTTTCCTGCTTTGCTATTATTTAATAAATACCTATTCTTATCTCTGGAGTAGAAATACTCAATGGAGCCACTGTATATAAAACATGAGTTTTTGGTGTTTATTGTTTTGTGTTGAAAACGGTGGTAACTGTGCCCCCAAATCAAAACCTGAACCCCACCACTTAAAAGTGGCCAGTGTTCGTACTGATGAGTTTGTCTGAAGCACAGCTGAAGGGAGAGATTGTATCCTGTTGTTCCCTAGAGGATGCAGTGGGGGAGTCTTAATTCCTGAGCGGAATATGCAGCTGAAATGTCCCTGGAAGGCTTCTGTAGAAAGTAGCCATTTTGGCTCAACCAGTCCCCTTGGTTCGTGAATGAGCCAAAATTGCTACAAAAAGTCTCCCATATGTGGGAGTTAGCCATCGGTGGGGTAGAGCCAGGGCCTGCTGGACCCCTCTGCTCATCTGTGCCATCGTCTATGTAAACAGTAATCGTTGCCCTAGTTCTGGCCTTCTGATCTCTAAGCCTCTGGGCCTCTGGTGATCATCGTCAATACAGACTGCCAGATTGTTTCTGGAGACAGGACCTTGATGGCTATCAGTGATTCCCCCCCCCCCTCACCGCAGACCCCCCTTTTCTCAGGGGCTGCCAGGTCCTTCCTGTCTGTGCTGTCCACCAGTGCCCACAGCGACGTCCCCGCTGTCGCTGCAGATTCCCAGATGGGAGAACTGGAAACTGGGGAGATCCATCGCTGCGCCTTCCATTGGGTTTTTGTGTCTTCCTTGTCGTGGCTCTTGGCCGTTGTCTCTCCCTGATCTGTAGCTGAGCGCTACATTGCCAGCTGTACCTGACTTTGTTCACGTCAGGAGTTCAGGAGCTTTGACGGCAGCAACGGGCCCAGTGACGTTTTTGTTACGCGTGTAAAGAAATATTTCCAACGCTGGTCGAAAATGCAGAAAACCCAGAAGACGAAACGTAGAGCACAGCGAAGGGGGTGTGAGAGGCCCTGGAGGCTGGGTGTACTTCACCTTCAGGTGTGCGGCGAGCCTCCGCACAGACAACGCGGTAACACCGCTCTTTACTCTGACTGCAGGGCCACGAGGCCTTGGAGTGGGCGATCAGGAGCTTGAGCAGAGACGGCGGCGGTCTGGCCCGTGTGACCTGAGCCCGGCGAGGGGTCACTGCGCTGGGAGTGAGAGACCAGAGGCCCGTCGGAAACGAGTAAACTGGCCTGGTTATGCCGAGCAGCATGTGGTCATGCCCACAGCACCCCACAGAGGGGGAGAGCCTGTCTTCCATTCATCTCTATGCACCTGCCCACATCGGTGATCAGCTGACATCAAAAGCAGGACAGTTTACTTGTGAAGTTCGGTGCAGCACAAGCAATCAGGCCACCTGAGAGAAAGTCTGATTGCGATAGTGCTTTCTTGGTAGTCTCTGAAACGTGATCGCTCTTTTGGGCTTTTTAAACCTTAAATCTGATGGTTTTATTCTTCTGCTTGGTTTTTTTGTTCCCAAAATCTCAAGTGAACACCTTCACTTGGAGGAGGCAAAGTAATGTGAACAATGAATGTCCAAGTAAAATAAAAAAAATATGTAATTTTCAAAGTACAGGTTCGCTGTTTAAATCTAGGAGACAAAGAACAAACTCGCACACACAGAGAATATTGCATTAAACAGTTAATTAACCAGACTCACTTGGAATATGTGTATCCCTATTTGGGGTTGATAGAAATCCATTGCAACTTGTCAGATGCTTGGTATTTCTGTTATTTAGTGTTTCAGATATTTCTGCCACCACAAATATGTCCTAGAATCACTGCATGAAAAGTCTCATGTGAAAAGCTAAGTGAACAAAACTAAAATTAGTTTTGGGAGCAAATCTGTAAGATCAAATGGCATTATGTTGTTTACCATTGTAAGTTGCCCATTAAATTCTGTAGTTCATATTCTGCCTGTATGTTTTCTAAAAAAAAAAGAATGCATGAGGAATTCATGTTTGTTAATGATGGATTTGATAGTCTTTATTATAATCCCACTGTTAGTTGCTGAAACTGTTGTAGCCAATTCTAATATTTATTTAAAAAGTACTTTATTAATTTAACACTTGCGATGAAGTAATGTACAAGTATTGTACAATTGTGGACATGGCTCTATTGCATTAGGCATGTTTATGCATTGCAAGGCTAAGTAAGGTGTTCAAAATGTTTTGTTCTGTAATAATTGTGTAAAAACACTTGCTTTGAAAGTTGCAACACTTAAGAATCTGTTTTGTTTACTGTTTACTTGGCCAAAATGCAACAATTAATTTTGGAAAGGCTGCATACAAGGGCCAAAAATGAATAATATTACCATTTTAATACAGGCGTCAGCGTTATTTAAGCCGAGGGATAGAAGGATTAAAAAAGAAATAAAATGTATACATTGTTAAACGTCTCTTAACCTATAGTGATTACCAGTCACTAACAATGATTTAATTGAACGGTAGTTTCTTCATGCAGCAGCTGAGAAGCATTCCCCTAGCTCTGCACTGAGCATCTCAAGTTAACGAGGACTATAGAGCTCCGCTGTTCTACCTCAGTTCAGTGCTTGTGTTGCCAAGCTGATTCCCGAATATGCGCTGTGCTGAGTGCTGGCTTCCAGCCTGGCGCAGTTCTGAACGAACTGTGCTTGAAGCTTTATGTTTCACCCCTGCTGATTAACCCACAGGGGCGCCGCTTGAATATGGGCACCGTGAAGCTCCTTCTTGAGCAGAATGTGTTTTGTGGGCTCTACCATCTCCCTCCTCGGCCACCCAGCTCCACTGTGGAAAAGCAAAGCAAAGCAATGGATCCAGAGTTTGTGCCACTTTGCCAGCTGTGATCCATCTTTTTCTGCTCCTGGTAGCCCTGCTTCCTCACATACTCACTGTCGGTGATGTAGTACCGAACATTTCTGATAGCCTCAGAAGGCAATGTCTTGAGCACCAAGCCTCTGGGCAGATCTATGGATGGCATGGTACTGTACAGTAGGTCAGCTCTCCTGTCTCACAGCTGCAGGGTCCTGGGTTCAAGTCCAACTTGGGAAGTCTATATGTGTGGAGTTTACATGGTCTCCACAGTCATTTGGGATTTTTGATTGATGCTTCAAAAACATAAAACATAGGTCCGATTGGCTACTCCACATTGTCAAATTTGTGTGGGGCGATCAAGGCAGAGTAATACTAATCAGGATTATTCCCATTGCAACTACCAATGACAGAGGGACTAAAGAGGAATAGAAGCAAAGCCCTCCTCTGATTTGTGAATATTCTGATTTTCTGAAACCCCAGCTTTAAGCTGTTTGACATGATGAGCCACAATGTGGACTGAGACCCCTTATCAAGCTTGAACCCTACTGTTGGCAGTGAAACCACCATTCCCACCTGTGCAGTGCTGAAGAGAGCTTGTTGTCAACTTGAATTGTTTTGTTGTGTTTTGTAACATCTCACGCCTGTAAAGACACCTGTAACAGGCTGGAAGCTGGATTGTGCGTTTTAAATTTGCATCTAGTATTTTACTGCTGCTTCTAAGTCCATTTCTATATACAGTCCCTGAACAAAGCAAAAATAAATGTTCAGTAAATTAATGTCTGCATGTTCATTTCCATGTTCTGTATTATTCCTCATTCTTCTCATGCTTTAGTTCAACTGGCAAATAAAAAAGCTCAAACAACCACCCAGGACTGCATGAGATTCAGAAAGACAGTGGAAGCCCTGCTTTCATCCGTTGTGGTGCCCTAAGGCACAGAAATTAAATCGGATCACAGATTGTGCATTGAGAATACTGAACGTGCTACCGTGTAACCGCTGTGCTACCATATTGCCATGACCCTGTGGAGAAAAGTCGTGTCCATATTCATTGTACGCCTGAGCCAGACTGTGTCAACAAGAATGTTAATAGTGACACTAAGAGCAAGAAATTGGTCATACCTCTTGTTGGAGTATCTCCTTTATTTGAACCTTGCCAAAGTAAAAGGCAGATTCTGCCATAAATTATTGACTTCTGAAGTCTGGGAACCTTGGTAAGTTCTTTGACCATTTAAGCAAGTAGTCTATTCATTTAAGAGAACTCAACCTTCAGAGCTGAAGATCCCCAATGTTCTGTAAATGACTTCACAGTCCTGAAGAAATCATATGCAGCCAATCTGGATTACATTTATCCAGGCTTTTGGAAACCAAGGATTTATAAAAGTGGTCTCCAGGCACTAGGCCGGAATAGGATAGATCATAACCATTAAAGACAGCTCTCTGCCACTTGGGCACAAGCCAAACGATCAGACTATCCCAGTGAAAACTGGATGGGTGGCAATCCTGTCAAAAACTTTTAATTTTCATTGGTCTGTGTGACATGTTCTCTGGCAAAACCATATATACAACAGTGGTTTGAATTTGTCATAAAAAAAGTTCAGTGAAATCGTTGGACTTTTCGGACAAAAAGTGGGATTTTGATGTTTGATTCCAGCTGGTTTATCACAGAGAGCAGATAAAAGGAAAATGGTTAGCGTTTTATTTGAACCTAGCATTTTATTGAACTTCAAGCAGGTAGCTGTGTCGGCATGCGTAGGCTGCAAAGGAACTGGCTAAGGTTTATTCCATGCTGAAAAGAAAAGAGACGACCTTTCTGCTGTGGAGCCTTCTTCAGGTGTCCAGTAATTTATTGCTGCAGTGATTTGAATGTTGCTGCGTACTGGGTTCATGATGCCTGCATAACTGCTACATAAGATGTTATAATCGCATGCATAATGCTTTATAGGGCCATATACAAATGGCATACTGTAACATGTGTGTAAGTCATGACATTTGTTTTACTGTCATTTGTAGTGCTTGCTTGGTATGACGCAATACTAAAACTAATGTCGTGACTTTTCTATGGGTCCTCTGGTTTCTTCGCAAAACCCAAAACCATTGGTGGCATTTGTTAACTTGCATCTCTAATTGATTTCTCGTGTGTGTGTGTATCCTGCCTAGCTAGGCTGTGTGACCACTAGGTGGGGTCCAAGCTCACTTTCACCCTCTAGGAATGAAGCAGTTACAGAAAACGGATGGACTACTGATTAGATGCTTCAGTGTTTGTTTTTCTGGGTTTGTTTCCAGGCTAGTTTTTACATACATAAGGCAGAAGGTAGCTAAAGTGAGCAATATCACGACAAATGTAATAATACCGTTGCTTACAGAAATTTAGTCATTTCCTTCCCCCCTCCCACTCTTAAGTACAAGTACTAGATATTTTTTGATGATGTCCTTAAATATCACATCTTTATTTAGTAACCATTCTGTGGTATGTTTGTGAAATTCAATTTTGCGATGCATTTTGTTGCGTATTATTTTATTGGATTGTGATGTGTATAAAAGAGATCCAGAAGCATTTTTTTTAGCCTTGTTTATGTATGGAATTACGGCTATTTCTTTGAAGTCTGTTTCTAAACCCTTTAGACTAAGCCCCTGTGCACAGGCATGAATAGTAACCACTCGCTCTTCAAGACAAATCTACAGAATGAGAAGTGTGGTAAAAATCCAGGAAAGGTTAAAAGCTGATCCTTGACAATTAACTCCATGAGCTGCTCATAATTGCCAATAAGATCTTAAAACCCGTTTACCACCCGATTGTGCTTTCCCTTTAGCTTTCATACAAGCATTTCAGAGGATGTCTGCATCAATATACTATACTGTGGATTTATAAGTATGCATATTTTGTTCTGAGTGAATGTCTTCTAAGCAAAGAGAACTCCCAAGCCTAGCGCATGCAATCTAATAATCAATCATCACCCAGCTTGGACAAAAAAAGGTACATGTGCAATTTGTCCGAAGAGGAGTATTGGTTTCCCACCCGGACTTGATCAATCTGAACCAGATCACCCGTATTCATTCTGATCTACTGTATGAGCAGAAATGGTGCACTGCAGCTTTTGACAAATGCATATGAAAGAAGCAGAATTCTAGGATGCAGCAGTGTTTCAGTAATTTATTTAGTAAGGAAAACACTTTGCCACCTCACAGCAAAAGTGTGGTGGTCTAGCATCACACATACATGTACAGTGGTCATTCATCCAGCAGGAGCCAGTGAAACAAGACACAATGTAGGTGAGAATCATTGCTGGCACTGAAAAGCCTTCTTTTCAACAGGGAAAAACCTCCCAAAGTGTACTGGTCAGCTCTGAGAAACAAAAAATGCTTTAAAAAAATATTTAATAGCGTCATGCAGCAGTGCGTTGAAAAAAAAAAAACATTTTAAAATTACAGATATTGGCACACCCGTGGCAAATCGATGAGCAGTGTCCCTGATCAGGTTTTGTAAATCTGCTGCTTGAACTGTGTTTTAATCATCTTTAAATCGCTCTCAAGTCATAAGGACTATATAAAACATCTGAAGCTGGGTGAAGAAAAACAAAAAATGAATGCTGAAAAATTAAACATTAAAGACTATTTAGAATTTTCACATTTCTGCATTTTTTTTTAATACCATCTTTGATTTAACTCTAGTTGCAGCACTCCTGAAAATGCTACTGCTTCTCATGAATCAAGTTTTGTTTCACAATGAAGTCTCAAAATTAAATCTTAATATTACATAGCCAATTTTCAATAGACTATATACTGTATATTGAAATTTCTTAATAAATAAATTTGAGTAGTTTTCCCCACTAATGCTTTCTTCTTTTAGTGTCCATCTTAACCCATCACTAGACCTTGCTATAAAAATGCTTTTAAATGACTGCGGTTTCTGTTCTGTTTCAATTAGTAAACAATTCAGAAGCACCTAAAACAAAGACAAAACCCAGCATTTTCAGTCAATACCTACACTGCAGCTTTTCTTAGAGGTGTAAAATATTTTAATGATGTAGTTTCTATTCAATACAATATTGCAATCAAAAATGCAGCACACAAATACAAATCTATATCCTTAGGGGATATAATCAAGTCCTTAGGGGGAACAGGAAAAAACATAAGCAAATATCAAATGTATAAAAAAGTGAAAAAATCATTTACATAAAAATATAGCTTTATATATACACGCTCAGAAACAAATCCTTATGTACTCCAATACAAATCTGCGCATTTCAAGCTTTTCCTTCGTCTTTATTGCACAGTTCAAAGAAAAGTGCAAAATGTGCCAGACTGACCCCAGCTAGCGTTTCTGACAACACATTAGTGAAGATCAGAGGGAGCTTTCATTTGGTCAGAACTTAGATTATTTCCAAACCTTACAGCTCTGTTGAGAACAGTTTAGTGAACCTGCCATGTCAGTGGACCATATTTAAATTACACAGCCAAAAAACTGGAGATACAAGTTTTCCCAATATTAAGCTATATAATCTTGTTTTACTAGCTACATTTCCTCTTGCTGTAAAATAGCTTCAGATATTGGTAGGAATTCCCACTTGAAGATATTTTTACTGAAAAAAAAAATCCAACTACTCTAAAGCTAAAGCTAAACTGGCTTGATAGTTATAAAAGTTACAAAAAAAAAAAACACCTGCAATTCTTGCATCAAGAAAGCAAAACAGCACGTTGTGAATTGTGTATAGTGTTGTGCTTTCATACGAGGAGTGCAATGTAAATGGATAAGCAGGTTATTACAACCAGCTCACTGAAGAATCCTTTGTAGCTGTCCAGCCTTTTATATGTCCAAATTCCTCTTACAAAATAGCTCAGCGACTCACTTTGTCACACATTCTCCGCACATTCTTCTTGACACTTTCGGAGTCCAAAACCAGTCACTATACGGCTAGTCCCATCTCAAGACATCCAGAAGACCGGACTGCGTATGAACATATGTACAATTCAGTGTTTAAAGCTCAGCAGACAAGAGTCCTCAGTATTTGAAAAGATTGATAAAACCCTGTGGAGAGACAGGAATGCAGCAGCTTTCCGTGTTGTAGGCTATGCAGGGGTGGTTTGTGTCCTGAAAACAGAAGAAAGGAACAAGGTCACGGATCAAGCCATGGCAATGAACAACGTTCTGCAACATAACCAGCCTCAGGTTTCACTGTATCCAAGTAAAGAGGATCAGAGACATGAGAGAGACTGTGCACATTGGGAAAACACTGAAGTAATTACCAAAAATATAAATTTGAAAACTATAAAGTCAGTGAATCATATTCCGAAACAGTTAAGACTCATCTCCATCCAGTTTGGCAAAGCCGAGGTATGTTTAAAACACTATGTGGGAGGACTGTTCCCTTAAAACTCCAGCATTTCCAGGACACTATAATATAGCTTCAGCATCAGACCAGGATGATACTAGAATACATTACTCTGAAAAGAAATTCAAATTTTCATATTTATCACAAAAAAGATTCTTCAACAATAACAGATTATAGGCTTTAAATTACTATATATGTACACAGTATACACACACACGAGTGAATTTAGGATTTCACCGGTCTGACGTCAGAACATTTGTCTGCCAAAGCGATTAGCAGAAGAGAACGTCCTGGTTACTCAGACCCTGCCGACAAGAGTATGCAGTGGCATGACACCAGTCTGGTACTGTCTTTTACCTTCCAGAAGAGGATGTGGCAGTGTGTGCAGAACTGCAGGGTGTCGCTGTACTGCTCCTTGCGGGGGTAGCACCTCGACAGCTTGAAATACATCTTCTTCCAGTCTAGGTGGCCCTTATCAGACATTATCAAACGTTTTCGGATCTAGAGGCGAGAAGAAGAAAAAAAGAAAAACTTCATCGGACTGCAACATTGCACGCAGAAGAAAGCAAGGATCATTCTTGAGATCATATCTTATTAGTTAAGATATTTGACTTATCTAGAAAACTAGAGAATCGGAGAGGGGAGATATTGTTCACATTACTACACAAGATGTGTTCCTAAATAGCCTTTAAAGATCGTCTGATGGCTTTATCCCAGCCAGTGCATGTATTTTTCCCCCACCCCAAGATAACACCGCCGTTTCCAGAAATGTGTAGTTAGAGTTTCAACGCGCGCGTCACAAGCTCACCTGGCGGTCGGAAAAGTGGTAGTGGCACAGCTTCTTCCACAGCAGCCGGTCCTCGCTCAGTACATTCAGCTCCGGACACACCTGGCCCAGGCTCACCAAGTCTCTGCCGTCAGAGAGCCGCTGCATGATGTTCAGTTGCAGGCACGTGGGGAGGTCCGTCAGAGTCATGCCGTTCAAAGATGGCTGCCGAGACGGAAAGGTTTCATGTTCAGTGGTGGCGTTTAAGGTTTGGCTGAGAAAACAGCAGTGTTATCCAGCCGTTTTGTAAAATAAACTAAAAAAAAATGGTCTGACGTTAAAGCAGGCTAAGAAAAACATTATCCCATACATTTTTTTCTGTGGTCCTGACTGGATCTGTTAAATTATTTAGTAAATCCATCCCAAAGAAAAAAAGTTGTCACTCCTCCACATAAGTCCAGGAAACATGAAGATGCAGTCAGTACGATTATCTTCTATTTATTCAAGCGTGTGCTGTATTATCTAGTCTCCCCATTGCTCTCACCCTGGTAATCTGTATGTTGTTGAGCTGCTGCTGCCAGTGAAGGATGTTTTCCATGCGATGGACCCAGATGTTGATGTTTCCCACAAGCACCGACTTGCCCATGTCCTGCACCAGGCTACACAGGGACATGTACAGCGTCTGCAGCAAGTCCTTGATAGATCGGATGTTCTGCTGATCTTCCAGCACTGTAGCAGAAATCATTCCAGTCAGCACTGTTGTGCAATTTTTTTTACAAGCAAAGTTTTTGCAGAATCCAGTTAGCATCACATGCTTTAGAAAAGTTTTTTCCTAGAACAGAAAATCTCCGTACACTCCATTTCACACAGAGGTCGCTCTTTCACATATACATGTTCATCTTCTGAGCCCTCTTTGCTCGCATCTTTTCTAGCATCCCTCCCTCTTCCCCATCTTCACCCTTGCAGCTGCCTCCCTGGTTTATTCCTCACAAATCATTAACGCCAAACACTACAGTAATAATTGTGCTATCCCTTGACATTCGTCATCTTGTTATCTTAGGTAGAATTGGACCCAACTACTGAATTATACAAACTCATGAGACCAAAACAAATTGATATGAGCCAGCTGTGCTATACTGTAAATACAAAGGGATGCTGGAAAAATTCAAATGCTGGGCTGTTTAAATAAAGACATTTCAAGTAAATTGGTGAGAGTGCAATAACCAGGCACAAGGAGTAGGTTCATGACAACACTGAAAGTTCTGAGACCAGTCCAGCGGCTGAGAACATTTACAAAACGCAGCTCATCTCCTGCGCTGGCCCAGTGTGCGAGGCAGAATTGGCGCCTGCTTGTCAGGTATTTGAAACAGTGCCAGATGGGGAACCAGTGAAGGAAGCTAAGAGCAACACTGGAACACACTGATGTTGACTTGTTTTTTTCCTGTCAGAATCTTCCACATCTCAGCTTTTGAGGTTCACACTATGTCAAAGAGATAACATTAATCAAGTACTTCTTGGCAGCCTATGCTTTGCCAGAGTATTCCTGTGTGCATCTAGCGAAAACCCACCATCAAGTACTTGGCTTTGTAACTTTTGATTTGTAAGTACACTGAAGTTTTGACAATTCTGGCCTAAGCGTCTTTTAGTATTTGAAGAAAAAACAAACACATCCCACACTGCAGCCAAGTCGGGAATTTGCAAGTCATTGTTATTATACTTAAACTGCATTTACGCGAGCATGGAATCAGTAGCACTAACGGAGAAAAAAAATACTTTAAAGAAGCTACCGAGTCATTTTAAACCTTTAGGTTTGGTAGAAATGTTTACACTTGCTGTTCACATGATGGAACTAAATGTGCGAAGTGTCTTGCGCATTTTGGCAGAATAACCCTGCTCTACAGTCCTGGTCTACGAGTAGGATAAAAACCATTTCCAAACAACCTTATTCTTTGTTTAGTTAAGGGAACATTTAGTTTACACTACAATTGAGACCCATGTTTGCTCACGAATGACAGTCATTCTTTCCACTGAAGACAATTATAAAATTCCTTGGAGCTGAAAGTGGCCCAGCAATGTTTTGCCAGTCTCTTAACGGGCCTGCTTCTTAATGTTAAGTCATCCAACGGCTTTATCTGCCAAGCCCCGAGAGACCAGAGCCAGCTCAGCTCTCACCTTTCTGCACGACTTTCTCCAGAATGTTCATGTAGTTCTTCTGAGCAACTCCGCTCAGTGACGTCAGCTGGGATTTCGCAATCAACTCCAGCAGCTAGAGAATGAGACATAAATATAATCCTGTCAGCTTTCCAGACGCTCTGTTCTCCCATCAGTTAAGTCTTGCTGTGCTGCCCTGCAAAAATAAGGTTTTATTTTCAAAGCTAAAACCGAGTCTGGACAGCTTCTGAAGCATAAACTGTTTAAACTAGGTTACCATAGAAAAACCAAGAGGTGCATATTTTCAATATTTACGTGGAGATAGCAATATGGTATTTATTCTTTCCACATAAGTTTTTTATTTTCTGCCACTGCTTATATTTGTAGATCAAATCGAGCATTCTTGATACTCAAATGTAAGCCACTATGTAGTAATTAATTTCTTTTAAGTCATTTCCAACCAAACTTTTAATTGGCTTAAGCATTCAAGGGTAACATAAAATAAAGGATTTTATGTAGATCCAAAACTTTCAAAAGCACATATTAAAAAAAAAAAACTACTGCTTTAATCATTTATTATAAGAGGTTGCTTCTGATTTGCATAAATCCCACCTAATGTATTATCGCCAGAGATCCATAATGATTTCTTAAACCTTATTTTCTACATAATACAATTTCAAAAGAGAATCTTAAAAACCAGAGGCTGGTTTAGAAGAAAGACTCATTTGCACTCTTTGATGCTCAACTTTGATGCTCTGATTGCCTATTAACTCATATGTTCAAATGAGATCTCTCTTAAAAAGAAACCAGTATATGAGCTTAACCCTGAACATATAATGGTTCTAGGAAATGCAGGAAATGCTGAAGAAGCAAGCTTGTGGCAGAACCTATGCCGAACACAGAACCCATTAAGAATGAGGCTAGTGCTTTAAGGCACAGCGACCGAATGTGCATAGAAGCCAGTGTCAGGTGATAAGGAATAGCTCCCAGGAGGTCACTTTGTGTTAGCACAGCGGTCTGAGTCAGGCATGACTGGCATGTAACTGTTGAGCCCCTGACTCTTCATCCTGCACAGTGACATCATGGAGAAACTGTGCTTCTGCCACTTGGCTTGTCGCTCAGTGCTGCTCTGGACATGTGATTATTATCAGCACCCCTGTAAAATAGCCCCTGAGAGTCAAATTAAGTGCCTTCATTCTTTTTCTGCAAGGAGTCTAACAGGAGGAGCTGCTTTCTGCTCTCTCAGTCTCTTTACCTTTTATTTATTTAGTAATTTTTTTCAATTTCCCCCAACATATTACTTTCTCACAAATACATTTAGAGACTAAGTTATTAGGTCTCAGAAAGTACTCTATTCAGTAGAAGGCAATACACAGGATATCTTCTTCAATCAATAGTTCACTTTCCAGGCCTTGAACTTGATAAATGCACTGACATTTCATGTTTTCAAACTGAGTCACGATGCGCATGTCAACACAAGTGGGAGAATCTCTCCTTAACACGTCCAGGCCAGTTCTCTGGCAGGTGTTTTTTTTTTTCTTTTTTCATAATAACCAGTGCTTGGAATAAGCAATTTCATTTAGCTGCATTGTGAGCAAACAGGGCACTTTTAAATGAACATACAACACTTCGTTAATCCAAAGTTGTTTCTTTAGATGCATCTCGATTTTAAAAAAAATAAATCACTTGTTACCGATACCCCACAGCCTAACTGCACTGAGAAATCATATACTTCCTCCATCGGCATTCAAAACGCCCTGGCACGGCAGACTGAATTAATGAAATCAGAAGACTGGATTGGAATGCCTCTGCTACTCACAGAGGCTGTGAATCATTTGACTTGCTGGTTCAGTTTCACAAACACCATTCTCAGCTCCCAGCCCAGCAGTTAATGCAGGTGCAGACTGCTAACGGGCTAGAATAACTACCTCTTGTTGATCCTCTGTCTGCCGCAATGACCTTTCTATACTTCAGAAAGAAAGGCCCACTTAAAAATAGACCCACGCTATTTGTTTTAGAAAGCAGTATAGTTTGTTTTTTTTTTTGCAAGAAGGAAAGTTCTCGATTCTTCTCTGATTAAGCAGTGTGGAATTCTGCTGTGGGCTGGAGATTGGGAGACAACTGCTCAGCTTGCACAGAAGGACAGTGCAGGTCAATGTGCAGGGCAGTATGAGAAGAGCAGTGCTAAACATCGTCACCTGGAAGATCTTCACCTCATCTAGTCATGTCCTGTAGGTTTACAGTCACGTGCCCCATTCCACAGACAGTCACATAATTATAGTGCAGATAAGTATAGGCTCTCCAGACTGGCCCTCAAAGAGTCTACACACCACTGAAAAGAGACCCTCTGGTTTGGCTCTCTTACTTAAAGACTGGTGATAAGACCCCTCCATGACACACAGAGAGAGAGAGAAAATGTTTTTGTCTTCTGTGACTTGAGCTGAAACTGAAATTGCATGTTCCAAGATCCAAGCAGCCTCAGACTGTTCTAGACTAGGAGATCCCCATGAAATCAGATTGCCTGACTAGCTAAATTCGCAAAGTACAGGGCATTAGCTGGTGTCTTGGACCTGAACTTACCCTCACCACATAATTAAATCGTCTGGAATCCATGATTGCGCTGGAAAAGTCCAGCCGGTTGAAGGCTTCTCCCAGAGTACAGTAGCCATGGCGCTGGGAACAGACATAAAAAAAATAAAAATAAATCAATCTCAACCTTATTAAAAGATGTAAACTGTATAATACCTCAGTGCATTGAGACTTTACCTCTTTTGTACTTCCTTTATGAACATGTATCCATTTATCCCGATAGAAATCTGTCGGGGAAATGAAAATTCCATTAAAGACATCCTTGTCTGACAGAATTCCATATGCACAGTTCTCGTTTTAGAGCTCAAAGAATGTTACAACACCACCACACTTACAAGGAATCTTGGTGTTGTTGTTCAGGAGGTCTTTCTTCCTCTTCTTTGCGGCCACGTCACAATTCATAGCAAGGAAGAGGTTTTCTTTGTAAAATTCCTCGTCTTTGCAGTAACTGGAAGAAACCATGCAGAAAATGAAATTGTTCACCAATTTAGCTTACGCTGAGTTCCATGCAGGTAGCCTAAAGGCACACCTGCATTTAAAAGGACAGTAATTCATTCAGTGGCTAAATGCTATATTCAGTTTTGATTCACTTCCATGTGATCTTAGGGGTCATACGGGCTTTCTGTTACAGATGGCACAGGTCAGATGATGCGCTTTGCTTGCTGAAAGGAAAGGCTGAAACATTTATCCATCAGCTGATGACAGACCATTCAAAAAAGGCCGAACTGAAATCAATACTGGGATTAGAACCAGGCGAGAATGTCTCACATCCAGTCACTTATTTTTCCCCAAGGAAAACATTTGCTTTTACTCTGGTCATGCGAAATGCAATACACTCCAAGCATGACTTGCAATTCGAAAGGCAGTTCATCCGACACAGAGGTTGCATACAGTAAGAGGCTGGACTCTTCATTGCAGTTTGTATGAAAACAGAGGTGTAAAAGTATGGCAAGGACTGTCATATCATTCTTGACAGCATCCACTTTCCTAACAAAGTCCTGTTCCCATCGCTAATCCATGAAGTCTTTTATTTCTGGATACACTTGTTTTGAAACATACTGTATACCCAACAGATGTCTATTAATCCCATCTGCTACACTATTTATAGGACGGTGATTAATGTTTTGCGAAACACTGCCTAAACGTACAATACACAAGAGCTCTGCGATTTACAGCGTTATTGTCACTTGAAGCCAAACTCCAAGGAAAGGAAAACAGGACCAGCTGAGGACTGCTTAACATCACTCAAACGCTGCTCGTTTCTATTGCTTTTAGGACCTAGGTTGAAACACAATATTCATACCACCAATCAAAACAGTTCACTTAAACCGTTTTCTTCAGCTTGGAAGTGTCGCTTTGGCAGAACTGATACAAGGCGCAAGGCTGCCGTCAATGATGGATGTTAAAACACAGCACGGTGGTAGAACAGCCTGATGCATCCTAACATCTTCCGTTATTAAATCCATCACTTTGATATTAGTCATGTTGTCACTCCGACGTTCAAATAAGACGAACCGGGACATTCTAGTAGGAGTTTTTTTGGCAAGGAAGTCTATAAACCCCTGTGTTTATCCAGCCCCCGATGTTTTCTCATAAGTTAGAGCAGCCAGAGTATTGCATTTTGATTACGACTCTTTTGTGCTATGCAAGACTTTCAGTCAGATGCGTTACCCTTAGCCTCTCTCGAGATTCAGGGGGTCAATTAAAAAAAAATATTCACTAACCTCTCCAATTCAGCAACATTGTTATTTGTCTCGTCTGAGGTTTTCTTCCAGCCGTCGTCAGTTTTAACCCAGCTCTGCCCAGGCGATCTCCAATCCTGTCCTAAGAAAGGCATAGTCGAAATAGCCCCGAAATGAAAACAACAACAACAAAAAAAAACAGTCCAAGATTTAGAATTCAAATACTTTTTTTTTCCCTCTTCTGCTTTTTTTTTTCTTTTCTCCCTTTCCTGCTGTCTGTGTTGTGATTATCCCGGAGCGCTGCAAGCGCAGTTGTATTTATATCAGCCCTCGAAGTTACCGGAAATGTTTGCGCGGCCGCCCCCTCTGGACAGACTTTCGCAGCACGTGGCTTTGTTTATCATCTTGTTCTTGGTTGCAAAACTTCACGGGCAGCGCTATCGCTTTACGGTCAAAGTGTACAGCGTTCACCTGCCTTTGAACATCAACCTCTGGTGTTTCCAAACGAATCAGGCAGTCGTGAAAATTGAATTACTGTTGTGGCAAGCTAATGCGTATCTTTGACTAGCACTAGCACCACACTGACCTTTTTGTAAGTATCTGGTGTTTTTTTTGTGTGTGCTTGTTTCGGTAGTTCTTGGGATCCCTCTCCACTTCATCCCAACAAGAAGTTAAAAATAAGTTTGGCTCTTTCTCGGGGTTATGCCCAAATGTTTTCCATCACCCCGTTACCGCGTCGACATGTTATTGCTGAAGGGTTGTTTTCATTTTGTTTCGTGGAGGCGAGGTACAGACGGCTCTCAAGATACCGAATATATTATTGTGTTGTGGAAGCCAAGAGTAAAAGCAGAAATGTTTTCTGCTGATGACTTTAGAAAACTGAAATCTGTAAACGCACGATGAACAAGGACAAAACTTCAGAAAAACAACACTGGTGCCAGTCCGGCACTGAGAAAGAAGGCAGTAGGATATCTCCAGTATACTAATTCTGTTTACTTTGCTATTGTATTTCACTCACCACCTTTGACCCACAGAACATAACGCGATATACTGTAAGACTATGTACAAATCTACTTCTCATAACTGAAAAGCATTAGGAAAAAAAAACATTACTGCCACAAAATGGCCACAGAATTCTTCATAAAATCTGTGACATCAACGGATGAGCGAAGGACATTGTTTTCATGGCCTTCAACACTGCTGTAACGGAACACCATGGGGTATGGCCTGACTGCTCTGTCTGGTTGTGGGCCCACAGAGTCATGGTGTGGCCATCCTAGCTTTCTGGGAAAGGATGAAGAAAGGTGTGTGTGCTCTGAAGTGTCAGCCCAAGGTAATCTTACATTTCACCTTGTCCAACGACAGGAAATTCTGAGCACTAAATCAAGAGCATTTCAGGGGTGAGCTGGCTACAGACCAAGGTCTGAGCCACGGCGAGTGCAATATGTAATATTTCTCTTAGGATTCTTCAGGACTTTGCCTGAAACATATCTGTATTTCCTCACCTAATTCTCCTGTTACAGACGCACAAGCTGTTGGCTTGCACAGCAAAATAAAATATTCCATTTCCTGATTTAAAGCCCTGTTTGGGGATCAGGGGATACAGGCCACCCTACAAATCGACCAGAAAAAAAGACAGAATCGTGCCCTCTTGAAAAACGCTGGTTTTTGTTCTCTAAAACATGAGATGGTCGGTACAGTGACGCCTTGTTTGGCATTCTTGCCTCATAGCACTGGGGCCCTGGGTTTAGTTCCGGGCTGGGGTACTGTTTGTGTGGAGTTTGTATATTCTCCCTGTGTCCAAAGATATACAGGCAGGTTCATTGGCTCCTGGGAGAACTGTCCCTGGTGTGAGTGCATGCTGTGTGTCCAGTGATGGACTGGCGTCCCGTCCAGGGTGTATCCTGCCTTGCGCCCGTTGCTTGTTGGGATAGGCTCTAACTCTCCAACGACCCTGAATTGGATAACGCGGTTAGAAAATGAATGGATGATGCGCTCTATCTGTTTACTTAACAAGGTCAGATGGGAGTACTTATCTACATTTTTATAGTTCATGTCTTTTGTGTTTTTCTTTGATTTTTATTCTGTCTCCCGGTTAGATCAAGGCTATTCCGTATTTGCGTCAGATGAATGAAGAGTGAGGGTGAACGTCCTGCTCTGACACTCAGAATCATCTGTGTGACTGCCTGGAGACACTCAGGCAAAGACTGGTGTAATTAGGCCCGTGACATTTAATGTTTGGATTTTATTTTGTGTTTAGAATTAAGGAACGGAATATCACTTTGATCTCTCAGTCAGGCAACAGCATTCCTAAAAGTGTGAATGGAAACTACACTTTTTTTCTTAATTATTGACTGAATGTTTCTCAGGGGAAATGAGTATAAGAAATACACTTTTCGCACAGACTTTAGGGTACCACAGTGCAGTCATGGAGAGGATGCCGGATTGTGAGGCATTGTGAGAATGAAATGATTTACCTCCTGACATATTGTGCTTTTTCTGGGTATGTGCTGTGCCAGGATTCACTAATGCTTGTCATCTTTCGAAGATGAAGGACTTTCATGTACTTTGCAGTGTGGCTTCAGATTCTGTCCTGATATCAGGATTAGCTGACTGCTATTTTCTTAATAATAATAATAATAATAATAATAATAATAATAATAATAAT